GTGTTTTGTCAGGAGTTATAATGCTAAAATTATCACGAAGATTGAATAATTTTTCTAGTTCCGTAACTTTCTGAGGCGCTGGCGTGTTGATCGAAAACTCAAACTGTGTTATTGTGTGAAGATGATATAACAAAATGAACACGAAAGCAAGAAAGAAGTAGATACAGAAGATAGACTTATACATCTTTTGAAGTGTAATTGCTCGGTTCAGTCAGCGGTGCTTTAACGATGAAGAACACCTGTCTCAATTTATGCAAATTAAACATCTTCTCGATAGATCTGAATTGTTTTAGGAACCGGCTTTTTAAAGCGTGACCTTCACGGTTTGTGTGTTTGTTAACTCTCACGCAAAAAATGATCTCCCCATGCGGCAATATAGCGGTCTAAGGGCGAAGTACTTTAAATGAAGAATATTAGTTGAGTAAATAGTTGGCTTTACTATTATAAAACAACTCACTTTGGTTATAGGTTTACAGTATATTGTTCGTATTTTCTGCGCCCAAGTTTACGGTGCATGGTTCATCGCAGAGAAAACAGTCTATTGAATCCTCAACCGTGAAATACTTGCAATAGATATAAAGAAATTTAGCATATCAATATATTTCTATTGTTAGTTCATTATAGAGCGTGCCATTTTTGTGCACGCGTAATTCATTTTACATGACAATGCGAGAAACTAATCAGTTCAGAATACAATAAAATTTTATTCGCTGTTTATGAAGAGATGAATAAGTTTAAAATACTTTTTAATAACAGTATTATGGTGGATGGCAAGGGACCCTCAGAAATCACGGGGCTTATACAAGGGAGGCCACTTCACGAAAAAAATATACATATTTGGATACAAGTGAGACGAGTGAAGAGACGATTCAAACTTCAGAACACCTTGAAGTAATATAAAGGTTTTTCCAACAGTAAATAAAACCATTTTCCATGCATGATGTCCCAAAATATTGGTTGACAAACAGTCGCTGCTCTCGTCATGCAAACATATTTTTTATTTTTGACAAAAATTCTAATTTGACCATAGATCTTAATTCTCCCAACAAATCTCCGAAGGAAAGGGGGAGAGAACGCAATTAATCAATGAAAACTTTTTATAATGTTCTTTGTTATGCAAAAAATTGGCGAAACATCATTACACTTTAACATTTTACATCCGTAAGGAGTCTTACTGGAGTTCTATTTCACCTACGAGCCATATCCTTTAAGATGGAGACATTATTGCATAACTCTGTTGCATCGGAGATTTTCAAAACTGATTTTAAGATAAAACAATTTTTAACATGAAGTTTTGTTTATTGTATTTAAGATATAAGTTAGGTGCACCAATCAAATTTCCCTCCCTCGAGTTATCATGAACAGTTCGTTATGTAATGGTCTAATTGTGATCGCGGGGTAGCGTGGCGTCTCACCTCTTCACTCGCTCTCCCCCGTCTCCGGACGACAGTTTGACGGCTCTAAATTGAGCTGTTTTTGGTTGCTATATTGCCATTTCAATTGCCCCATTTAGGGATTTTTCTATATGGGTACTGCTTGAGTTCAAATGAACTGAGCCCAAATTTGGTAGCCAATGCAAGTCGTTGCCGAGGAAACCACAAACATGTTGGTGTAAATTCGCAGTGTTTTTTCGTCTTTCCCCGGTGGACACTCGACTCTTGCATCACTCAGTATGTTTTCCTTCTGCTAAACGAGTAGGCTATGACGGCTTTCTAAATGTGAGACGGTGCAGTGTAGCGTAGACATAGGCCTGTTCTGATTGTGCTCGGCAACTTTTAAGGAACTTTTGGCATTTGGAGAAACTGTTTTTAGTTCTGGCAACCTCGAGCACTTTTTGCCTTTCTGAGCAATTTTCGGGCAACATCTAGGTTAAGAGCACATATCAAACACAATAAAGTCAACGATTTCATAGAAAACATCAATTTATGCGAATTTCTTAAATGTTTATCAGCCTTTCGAACACAGACTCTGTAAATTGACAACGTTTTGCGGGCCTATCTGCCAATAATACTGAGAACGGATAATCGGCTAAAATGACGAACAATAACGGCTGCCTCTGTTAATTTACGGAAATGGATGGAGAAAAGCCGCCGTTATTTGCGAGATACTCTTAAAAGCTAAGTTCCAAGCTATTTTACCTGACCGATGTCAGCCAGTATTGCAAAGAACGAAAAATGTTGCTGTTATAAATTAACTTTTATATGCCTATCGAGAATTTTTTCTTACTTGCGCGTCCATTTAGTTTTTAATGGACTACTACGGAAAAATTCCGTCAGATTGTAGGTGAATTTATACCTAAAAGATAATCTGGTAAATTTTCTTTCTAGTGGCCAGAGTTTCCTGGTGGGTGACCCTATTCGGAGGAATAACGGAATGACAGTGTATCTTAAAATCTGACTTAGAACGACCAAATATCCTAAAACGCGAAATGACAAGCATCAGCGACAAGATATGTGAAGTATCATAAAACATTATACTCAATCACAAGGTTTTTTTTTCGGTATTATCCACCTTAACTGCAACAATTGAAACCTCTCTATGTAAGCGTTTTCCGCCATTCTGTGTTTTCGGATATTCCACCATTCCACCGTTCCATGCATCCTTTCGCCAAATAGGGTCAACCTTCTCAGAAGTTCCAATAGAATTTCTGTCACACTTTATAAAAGAGACTGATACTCGAGGATGGATTTCCTTGACTTGAAAAACTCCACTGCTGACTTAAATAATCCTTTCGAAAAAGAATTATCGAGGCAGTGGAGTTCAATTTGACTGCAATCACTGTTAAACTAACCATAAGACAGCAGCGTGACTCGATCTTGTAGACTCCCTGTTGATACATGAGATCGTGCTCAGCGCATGTTGAAACCCGATCTTTCACGAGTGGACCATCTGTATACGCAGAGTGGATTTGCCAATTCAGCGGTCAAACGTAGGGCATGTGCGAGTAAATCATGATCAATTTAGCTGCCTGTGCGCCAATTTCCTTCCAAAATTTCAGAGGGAAATATAAGAAGTAACTGTAGTCTCGCAAAACTAGGGAAGGAAATTGAACTTTGATAGAAATCTGTAAAAGGAAAAAAAGTGTGGAAAGGAAAACTCGAGACTTCAGAACACAAAGCTTATTCAAGTACGGTTATCAAGGTGATTTATGATTCTACTTGGAGATTTTACTGCAAAAAGGAATAAATTTTTAAAATACCGTGACTTACTAGCTTGTGTGGTTGTTCGTAACTCCTGTGAGATAACTTGGTTCTTAAAACCTGAAAGCACACGACCTAAAACCCAACCCGTAATTACAACGTTCGCTCACGCGCAGCCGTTCGCCCGCTGTGTTGGACTTGTTACTGATTGCCCTTAGTAATTACTGTATGCGGTTTCCGTCTTGTGATCTACTAAACTCGTGACGCGTGATCGCATGATCATGAGAAAATAATGGGATTGATATCTCTTGCATAATTCAAACGCCAATCAACGAGTTCGGCTCTCGCCTCGTCTAATTTAACGGAAAGCGCAATCAAATTTTAAAATTCCTCAGCTCCTTGTGGCAAGATGCCTTTTATTGGTGAACCCATTGTGTTTCGACACGACTGAAAATATGTCTGCATCTAATCTAGGCATATTTGACATGTCACGCAATCAACAGCAATGGCATTGAAGAAACTAACCACTGTCCTAGTTTTACTCTTTTGCCGATTTACGCTTTTTTCCTTCATCGCAGTTTTATTTTGGATTCTTCAGGGTATGCCAAACCTCAACATTTGTTTACTGATGGTAAGTATTACAAAAATAACGTCCAAATTGTTGTTGATTCAAAGATTGATGAAGGAAAGTTTATGTGTAGACATGCTTACGAGGAATGTCACCTTGTTTAAGCGAGCAATGCAAAGGACTTTGGATTTTTTTAGCTTTATCTGAATCTTCTAATGATTTTTAATACCTCGTACTCTCAGTTTTTATTTTTCACCGCTAATTATTTTTTTGTCGGCGACAATGAGGAAAAACGTTTGTTGTTGATGTTTAATAGGATTTGAATTGCCGATGCCAATTGCCAAAAAAATTTGCATGAGCTATGTTGATTTGTTTTCTCGGGGCCCACAATCCTCCGAAGCAAATTGTGAATAGAGATGGCAAAATGGTATAGGTAAAATGTTATGGGCACTCGGAAGGAAAATACCGAATTTATTTTATGGGAAATTTTCGAATTGCCGAAATTGGAATATCTCTTTACAATTTCTTATGCGCCAGCTATAAATATCAGTAGAATTTCAGTTAAATCAAACTTAACAAACGACGTCTGATTTAGCTATAGACGTAAAAGGTGGGCATATAACTTGAAATAAAAATCATTTCTGACTCAATGCAGTGACGTGATCGTCACGGCAGTGTTTCTTTCGCTACCGGTCTTGTCACGCAACGCGTTACTTTCTTGGGAAGAGGACTACATCATAGTAAATTACGAGGAGTTATTTAATTCATGGTCATTACTTCTTTCGTCAGATATTCCTGTCTTACATCATTCCTCTACCGCCAGTTTCTCCCTTCATCCATACAATTGATCGCGCTTTCTCACATGTCTCCTTCGTTGTGAGGTTAGTATCAAACAATCATTTATACTTAGACTAACAATTACTATTCTAAGGTCTTAGAAATGTATTCCGAGCCGGTTTGTTCAAAGCTGGGTTAAAGTAAGGGTTAGTGCGAAATCTGATTTCAGATCTATATTTTATAAATTGTAATAAAATGGTCGTCACGCAACGCTGAAAGAAGCAACACTTAAGATGGCGAGATGCTTGCTTCACAAGCAGGCGGTCACGTTAGGCGTGTAGACCAAGCGAAATGCTTCATGGATAACAACACCAAATACTGAATTATTCTCCAGAAATTTTTTATCGCAGATGTTGTTTTTCAAATTTGACAGAGCTTACTCTCTGGTGGTTGTGGCAGTTCAACTGATTTTCATCGGACTGCCTTGCTATCTTCTGTTCTCTCTATTTTATGAACCCTTGGAGATCTCATTGCGTTACGTCGTCAACCATTTACGGTAAGAATTCGGATCTTAATTGCACAGCTTACTTTCCATTTTCGCGATTTTGAAAAAGAATTCTTTAGCAAAAGAAACAAAACAAAGTAAATGTTTGTTCTTTTTATGCTCAGATTCACCATTCCTCATCTGGTATTGAGAACGAGTACGATGATGTTTGAACGCACCTTACCGTGTCTTAGCACGTTATACAATCTGTTAAGGTTGGGTGCACTCGGAGTAAGCTCCGTACTTTATCTTTAAAATGGAATTTAATTACCTCTCGGCATTCCGCTAAGCGCGTCGATCGATAAATTTATAATGAGAGACAGATCCGAAAAAGAAATAAAAGGGGTTTGAAACTCACGTTAGCATGGTTGCTGCTCACAAAATGCTTGGATTGATGCGTTGATCAATTCGAAGTCTCAACATCCCCCTGGGTAACCCCCTTAGCATTTGAACTTTTGAAGGTTGCTTCGTTCAATTACCGCCCCTTCCCCCACCCCCAAGCCAAAACTGTGTTTTTAATGCCCTTTCAAGTGCTGGATTTGATTGTCAATTTTTTTGTCATAAAAGAAAGGATCATCAACCGTGAATTCTTGAAGGCCTCTCTTTCTAAGCCTTTTGCTCACAAATGTAAACTCTTTACCTTTGAACACCTCTTTATTAAAAGATAAAAACACATGTATTCCGCTAGAATGACTTTACAATTCTGGTCAAAATTCTTCATCCCACCCAGGTTAGGTTTAAATTCCCCACTTCCCAGGTGCGGACGACAGTCAAATGCCCGTGGGTCGCCCGGGAGGTGGAAGTTAAGGCCTCGCAACTGATCGGCGAATAAAATGGTGGAGCGCGGTATCAACACCTCCCTATATCCACCCCTGTCTGTGATGGTCTTGGATCGGTCAGGGGGAGTTGGAGAAGGGGGTGTGGGGGGAGCTGTTAGTTTAGGTCTTACCAAGGTGAACCACGAAAATTATGTAGGGAAATTTGATGGATTATACATTTTGTCAGAGTTTGTTAACTGAAATTTACAAAGTTAAGTTGAGAGTTACAAAATAGGAAGAGGTGTCAAGGGTTTCTCGAATTTTTTTTTTCTGTTTTAACTTTCAGGTCTAGTTTTTTTTCCTTTTCAAGCCTGTTGATGAAGTGCTCGATGTGGATGGCTGCAGCTCTATTCTCAATAGCCTCTCGTTTGGTTTGCAAAGTGATTCATGTGTAAGCTTTTAACGTTATCGAGTAAAGCACTTATTTGAATCCGTTGTTTTATGCAGGGAACCGAGGATGCTGGATCCTCACACATGCCACTCATCAATTGGGTTGCACTTGATTAGATTACATTACATAAGATTAGATTAGGCCATCTTTGCTCCTGCTGGGAACATAGTGCGTCGACCATGAATCTCCATCGGATCCTGTTTTGGGCTGTTCTTTTTGCCTCTTCCCAGATTATGTTATTCTTGTCGAGCTCACCTTGGAAAGTGCGCCTTCAAGACTGCTTTCGATGGCCTCTTCTTTAAGAACCGTGAGGTTTCCATTCGAGGGTACGACGGGTGGTATTTTCCCTAGGTACTAGCTTTCCTTAATGAGTTACGAAGTGCTCACTAGATCGATACAAAAGCAAAGTTAATCATATGTGCATTTTTTTTCTTACTCTCCTTTTTCTAGAAAGGTTGTTAGTTCATTGCTTGTGACTATTGGAATACTGATTTGTCTTCCTGGATTAGAACTAATTCCCAATCTACTTGCAACCGGACATTTATATCCTGGGTCTCTAATAAGGTAAACAATTGAGTACAGTTTATCATAAGGCAAATCGTATGGAATCATCTCTGATGAAAAACGTGCACATTGAGTGTCGCAAATGAAACCCAAAAGCCAATCAGAGCGAAGGTAAATATCAGTGGGGAGCCATAGGGAACGAGCGAGAGAACACGCGACTAAGTCGCGATACGTTCTGGTGCTGCATCTGATTGGTTGAGAGGCTGGCGCAGTCCTGGAGCACTTCGAAGGCAAACTGAAATTTGCTCCAGAACACACTTGGAAAATTAAGGTGGTTCTACACTGCCATACAAGTTCCTCTCCTTACTTATGGAACGTCCGAATTACGCATGCCTCAACACTGAAAAACGAGTTTACTTTTTTTTCACAGGTTCCAACGTTGTGCAAAGTACGATGACAGCACCGTTTGCCATTCTGCTTTCTTAGAGTTTTCATACAGCATGTGCAACTTAATACGTAATGGGATCTTTATAACTATGTGTTGGACTGTAAACTATAGTTCTTGGAAAAAACCATCAAGAGAATTGACAATCGTCGTAGAGAGCTGCCCGACACTGAGAAATAAGTCTTATTTCCAACTCTTACTTTGCGCAGCTGGGCTGCCCCTTTTAATGAACGGACACTGCTTTGCTCAAACAATTCACAATATAGCATCAATTGGAAATCTTTTGTTGTTTCTGGTCGCACTGAACGCTTATCACACCCGTACTGCTTCAATGATGTATCACGCGTTATGTAGTGTGGTTATGAACGTCCAGAGCACGCTGGTGGCTGTGTACAACATATCTAGGAACTTACAAACTCAACCCAATGACTCCATTGCGACGTTGCTGTACATTTTGGAATTGTACTTGATGCTGCTCGTCCTCTTAGACAGCAGTACTCGAGTGATAAAAAAAGTTATAAACCCAAAACTGGATATTATGTCACTGGAAAGTTAATGAAACTTGTGAAATGACATTCTCGCACAAACTTCTTTCGATAGCCTACCCTACATGAAATCTCCTTCGCACCTGTCGTTACAGTTGTCACGCAACTCTTTGTTGGGCTACAGTGCTACGAGAACGAGACACAATACTGACAACAGCTGGAAAGACTTATCCATGACAATCAACTGAAAACGGTTTTCAAGAAAATAAATAAATTGAATTTTATTTTTTTCCTTAGAGGGTTTAAGCTGAATAACAGGACTGCTCTACATACATTCAGATTTCTTCGCCTACACTTACTCCGGTTTTTTTAAAGTCACGTAACTAACCGTCTTCAACAACATTAAAGAGAATACTAGCCTACATGGGTGAATGTCGAAGCGTGGCGAATATTATAATAATAAGGGATAAGTTGATCCTCTCTTGGCGATGATAGAAACTGCGTATAGTTCTTACGACTTCATTTTGACCGTGATGAATTTCTCTTCAGAAAGCAGTAGGGAGGTTTCGGCTAATTTTTGTTCCCCTCATTTACTAAATGAGAGAAACAGGCCATAGTTCACTTAACTATAAATAAATTACTATGTTATACTCTTCCCTTTATGTCATTTGTTCCCACCATTTAAAGCTATAAATTAATCTATATCCCGCCTTTGACCTATAATTTTACCACCCTCCCCTCCCCCCTTAAGAAGTTGCCATTGATTTTTATTGAACATGTTTACAGTAACACTCAGTGATTGCACTCTACTGTGTAAGCTATCAAATGCTGTTTAACTTAAGCTCCACATGCAAAACAACATTCAATTTCTACCAATGAAGACATAAATATTGGAGCAATGATAAATCAGTCACTGAGCCCCAGTCGACGATAACCCTTGCAAGTTATCCGCAACACAAGCAAAAAGCAGCAAAAAATTTAATTTGATGTTTCGCCGCTGCAAAGCCTCTGGGGTGCCTCACCCCCACCTGTATGATACCCAAAGTGCTTGACGACCTGTTTTTCGGCAAGCTGAGTGGAATAAACGTTGAGGAATGTAAGACACAAACGTGATGAGGCGGGCGGGAAAAAGAACCGGCTCACTACATACAACAATTATCTACTTTTTCAGCTGTTCAATGGTTCAACTAATAAAAAAAACCTAACATCAGTTCTCAGTTCTGAAACCCACCAATACCACCGTACCCTAGTCCTAGACTCTCTCTTTTGACCCCGGCGATACACTGACTGGGTGCACTTTCTAATTTACAAATTTTTCATTAGTGAAAACATTACGTCTGCTAAGATGTGGAGTATTTTTTTGATATAATTTTGTGCCATCTAAAACATATAAGAACGATATGAATGGCAGGCGCTTTTCAGGATTTTTAAGTGAAAGTTTTCCATGGTCAGACCTCGGTACCTCCAACATATTCTCTGTCGAGTGAAACAAAAACGTAAAATTAGTTTCGCCAGATACTTAATCGCTCAGTGGTTGAGAGGCTTATGAAGTTAAAGAAACCGTTCGCTAGAGCAGTTCTTGCTTTTTGGCGAAGACCGTTGCGCAAACAAAAAAAATCAGTGAATGATGTTAGCATACCACGCGAAATATTTAGGCGCCTCGCTCCCAGAGTTCCGCGCGGCGCGCTAACATCAAATTCTTTTCACTGATTTCTTTTCCGACTCGCGCGGCGGACTTCGCCGAAAAGCAGGGACTACTCGTAGTCTAACTGTGAGCTTAAGGTTAACGTAGTTTTAAAGTTTTAGTTTTTACCCTTTGTTATCAAGCATTAAAATCATTCGCGATTTAATGGAGTTATTGTTTCCTTATCTTAGGAAATGTTCCTTTACATTGAAGAATTAATTTCCTCATTCAAATCTTTAAATCTAATTCTAGCAATAATATTTAACTTTTAGGTACCTACAAGCTTCAAAAAGTTATGCCTTTAGGGTAACCAGTCAGTTAAGGGGTATGAGTTCACCCTTTCCATTCATTTGATTTATGCTCCTGGGAAATTAACCTTGATAAATTTCTGTCACGAATGAAGAAAAATATCAATCAAAGAGCAAGCAAAAAAATGGGCTTTCCTTTTTCTGACAACCGATGAAAGGCACAACTTTCTGAGCTGAGAAAGAGCTTGTTAATTTTATTCTTCTTTCTTTAAGAAAATGCTTAGAAAAGGGGTTAAAAGTGGTTAGTTTTTGATAAAACGTTTATGGCAAGCCTACCTCTGCACACAGCCTTATCCCTTCACCTCATTAATGGCCAACAAATTGCGGCATTTTTTTACTGTATTACAGAAGAGTAGAAGAGAAATTAGCTCACAGAAGTTGAAAGCATTTAGGTCGGTTTTAAGACGCGCAGCAGTGTGTAAAGCTTGGAAATGAGTCATATCTGTCACGTGATACCTTTTTCATTTATCACCAGTTAGTCGCGTGTTGGTCGTGCGCTCACTGCGGTCTCTGGAGCTGTGTAGCGTTGTTTAAGAGTAATTTAATGACGTTGTCATTTCTACAAATTTACGCTAGTGGGAATGGGAAGGGGGTAAGTGAAAAAGGGGAAGAAAGGGGAAAAGAAAGGGGAGAGGGGAGAGGGGAGGGCAAGGAAGTTTACTAAAAATTAACGACAAAGGCACTAAATAGTTTTCTGTTCGAACGTGTCAACCAAGAAGAATTAAAGAGGTTAAAGAGGGTTTGACTTTCATGATGTAGGTAAATCGCCTTTATCACTGAAGTGTAAGAGTTGGTTCACGTTTACGGTTTTTTTTTTTTAAACAGGGTGTGATTTTAATCGTGTGTTTATTTACTTTTTAAAATATATTTATGGTTTTATTTTCAATATTGGTCATTTTAAGTCAAATGAAAATCCTTTTTTGTTTCACTTAGTTCTCATAGACTCAAAAGTGACATGTTATTTTCAATTTGTGGATTAACGATAGACTGATGTGTTCTTTAAATTATTGATTAGTTGTTTAATGTTTATTTTCCGTTCATTTTATTGTTTAAATCCATTTGTACAAAGCAATTCCAGTCATGGCAGGGGATTTTGATTAAGAACACGGACTTATCTCCCGGCGTTAAGTGACAACTCCTGAGTATTGCATGACAACACGTGCAACGAGGGGAAGACAACCACAAATGATGACATGACTGATTTTTTGCTTTCTTTCGAAATTTTTGACAGGTACTTACATGTCAAGATGTTTGACAGCATCACTGGAACACATTGTGGTAGTCTGGTAATGACAATCCCTATGTGTGACTAATTTGCACTCTGAAAAGATACACAAACAAAGATGAAATTTAAAAGATGCAAGAGTTAGTAAGCTCAGTTTCTTTACGCTTGATGCGCTGAGATCTGAGCCCTGTTATCTGGTCTCGACACCGAGACAAGTCACTGAAGATGAAAATTGACCTCACGCTGATTTCATTGAAAAACTGAAGCTTTTAGAGCAGTTTTCCATTTGAATGTCGGATGGCTGAAATCGGGGCCACAAATATTGAGGAGCTTTTCCTGATTCACGGAATTCAAACCGAAGCCGTTTGCAGATCTACGGTCAAAGGACAAGTTGGGATTTCACTGCCCACGTTGAGTTGTCTGGAGTTGAAAATGTTGAAATCCATCGTTCCAACTGTATGGGCGGCCCCCGATCTTTTCTACTGCAAAAATAGCATTTGACATGACTGTGATTTAGTATCTTTCATTAATGATTACCTCTACATTGGTAGCCTTGTTTTCCGATTTTTCCTTTGATTGATTTTGCACACACAGCACATTCCGGTGAGCTAAACAGAGAGAATTGGAGTGAATAGTTTAGAAAAGCAGCAGATGGAGATCAAAGGCGTCAAGAATAAAATAAACGCCCTGTAAAAGCACAGAATGAAATATTTAAGAGGATACGATTTGAAGCCATTCAATGTCAGACCGCAAAAACAACAACAACAATCACAGCAATAACTTCAACAACAAAAACAACAGCCTTATACCTTCCAGTAAAGTGGACAGCGGTGAAGATGTGATCATTATAAATGTGCAGCTTATTGCCTCCTTTCTCATAAGCTTGTCTTTTGGCCATCACGGGAGGAATGTGCGCATATCTGAGAAAAACATTACATGTAGCATATCAGAAGAATTAAACGATGTTTTCTCGCGCGTAACGCAGCGCCAATGAGAGCCAGAAGTTTTTATTTGGTTGTACATTGACCCATCTCTGATTGGTGGAGAAATAGCGAAAACGTTTAACCAATCAGATTTTGGGTGATCATAAACCGCGCTGTGTTTTTTCATGCATCACCTGTCGTCTATCTAAACCTTAAATCGTACGAGGAGCTAACAAGAAAACCAAATGCTTAATTTAGTTCCAAATGTAAGTTCACTTTTCAGATTTAGTGAGTGTGTTGAACAAAAAAAGATCGTATTTTAATAAACTGAATTATATGATGAGTTCAATAAAGATTTATCAAAACTATTATCATCAAGTTTTCCTTGTTTTATCCACTCGTGTTGTGGATGCAGTATTTCCGGTTTTGGAAAAGTACCAATCTTAATTTAAATCCGTTCTAAAATGCATGAATTACCTGAATTATTGACGCATTAAATCATATAAAAAATTGATCCACGTTTTCATGTCGTTCATGGCATGCACACGAGACAAGAATAGACACAGGCACTTTCTTACTTTTTCTGGCCCTTGTGCACTGTTTCAATAACCAGTGTAGAGTGAGGACTTGGTGAATAGCTGAGAAGTGAAGATTGACTGGTGGATTTGCCTGTCAAAATGAAACAAATTTTTCAATGATTAAATAACACATCGGTTAGAGTTTCATTCCCCTGTTGGTAGCCCTACTCTTTTGGTTTGCATAAAATTCCCCCCGTCTCATATATGAGAGGTTCCGAACGAAGGTCAAAGCACTTACGCAAGTTAGATGGATCTGGGACAGGTAGGTCCCCGGCATGGTAGGAGTGTCTGATTGGGTCATCTCTCTTGAACACCTTTTCTTCACCCTTATCTGTGTCCCTGTCGGCTGCACTCATACTAACTGGTCTCCTTCTGAACAGATTGAAGGACCTTCGCAGTTTGGGTTTGGTGTTCAGTTCTGAAGCTTGTTCAGTCATTTCTTCAAGTTCTTTCGATTTCTCGATCTCTGTTTCCTTCTCTTCCTCTTCTTGGGTCTCGCCGTCTTTTTTATGATCATCTTTTGGTCCTTCTTCTTTGCTTTCCACTTGCTGTTGTACTTCCTCTTCTTCTTCCTCTTCTTTTTCACCTCCTTCTCTCGTTTCCTCGTCTTTAACACTTTCTTCTTTCACGACATCGTCATGAATTTCTTTAATCTCTTCCTCCAATTCTTCAGCTGCGGCGGCTTTCTCATCATCCTTAACTGTCTTCTTGTCACTTTGCTTCCTTTTGAAGGCAAACTTGAATGACCTTCGTGTTTTACTTTTCTTTTCTATCACCTCTTCTTCCTCTTCCTTTGGCTTCTCGTCTTTATCTTCCTTTGGCCTCTCGTCTTTATCTTCCTTTTCGTTTTGTTCTTGTATCTCTTCCTCTTTCATGTCTTCCTCTTGACCTTTTTTCTCCTCTTCGGCCTCTTTGTTCTCCGCTATGGGAACTTCTACTTCGACCGCTTCAACTTCCTGTAAAAATCAGAGGAAGAACTGACAAAACCATAACCAACTACGCTATCCACATGTTTGTCGAAGATGGTGTCCTTTAAAACACTTAAAAGAAACCAACGATTGCTTTAAACGCCTTACCTCGACAAGTTTGACTGGTTCGTCGACAGCTTCTTTCACCTTCACCTTTTCCAGCACGGGCTCAACTACAGGAGTTGCCATGACAACGATTGGAGCAGGAGGCTCGCTCATTAACTCTGGTTCGTCATGTTGTTCTACAGTGTCCACGCCGTTTTCGTAACTAGCGTGTTTCGGCTTCTCATCGTTAGCTTCATAAGCTTCAATCTCCATGGCCAGTTCATCCAGACTTGACTCGATGTAACGCTTCCGAACTGGAATGTGTCCATTGATCTCGGGATCAGGTCCCCCGCCATTCATGAAGACTGGGGCTGCTTCCTCTGATGGGGAGCTGTGGGCACTAGGGCTCTCAGGATCTGAAAAGCAACGATTAACAAGAACAGGATTTATATCTAACCAAATAACGATCGGCGCGGTAGAGATCATCAGTAGGGGCACACAGGATTCGCACTGAACTCTAGCGAAAGTTGGAACGTCTAGGAACTAAGCAATAATTTGCGCATCTGAAATATTTTCTACAACAATTTTCACGCTCGTCACTTGCAATCTGTGTTAAGTCTTTTCGATCATCGATTTCGTCATCTTGATCCTTATAGCTTTCGTCTCCAAATAAACTGATGTATCAACTGTAACAAATGAATTCAGGTAAAAATGTACTCGTCCACACTACTTCTTCCCACTTTGTGTCAATCTGTAGGAGAGCCCTGTGCAAAATGCATACTTACATCTGAAAATCAATGACTAAACAAAAAGGCAAACAAGAAGAGAACTTACCACTGGACATACGTTTTCGCCCCATGCCACTTACTAAGGGCAGAGTAGCATCAATGACCTTTCCATCCTTATCAAAGGTAAACTGTTGAGAAAGACAGAGTGGTTGGTTACTAACTGACGAAACTGTGACGGGATGTACCGTTTTAAGTGTCCATTTGATCAAACTCGCTGGCGCACATAAGTAAGTTTTTGCTGTAAAGTACGTTAAATGTGACAGTACGTCGATCATCAGTTAAGTTGTGACCAGATTTCCGTGGGACTAACATGTTAAACTCTGCCATGTGGCCTGTTTACGTTTCTGAACATAGTGTCATTAATTCCTTGCTTTCCCAATTCATGCAGATCAGAGAGAATTCGTGGATAAGGAAATTTAAAATCCCAACATTTTCTTCACTTTACCTAATGCTAATAATTATCGAAAAAAGACAATAAATCAATAACAAATGAAACAAAAAACATAAATAAACTAAAAGATAACTACTTTTAAGACTCGTTAGAGGATGTTTCTGATTATTGTTGTCTAACCTCCAAGGTGATGTCGCCCCTTGAATGGTCACTTTTAGATGACTTGGGCAGCACAGGGAGAATCAGCCGACATGTCTGGTCTCTGTTCACCGTCGAAAGAGGGACAATCACTTGGCCAAGATAATCATCTATGTAAGTAAACGAAGTACGTTACAAGGTAGGACCCTGTTTCTTCACTGCAGCACTGACAGACGAGAGAGACAGTTAGATTCTAGATTCTAGAAGGACGACGACGACGACGACGACGACGACGACTAAAACATTAAGATTTTTTTTATCTCTGTTACTGTTTGTCTGAGTTTATATATGTTAAGGTTTAGTGGAACAAAAAGACACGCACGCGTGACACACGAACCAAAGGCCCGTAACGAGTCTAAATAACGACTGCACCATAGTTTGACTGGTTCACTGAATAAAGGGACTGGAAACTATTTTTTATTTTAAGACGGCACTATGACCTCTGAAATTGTGAATTCACGTATCTTTAGTCTCCCCCTTAAAAAAATACGCATGGTAAAGATAAATTTTTTACTGTTAACACTTTACTTATTAACTTATTAGCAATTTTTCCCCTCTGGTTTCGATGTAATTCCCTGTTCATTACTTAGAAACCATTTACTGCGTTACTTATAACATCATCATAATCTTGTTTCTACTTCATCTTTATGTTGTGAAACTATATCATAGTGTACTGTGTCTGATTCACCTTGCTCCTCAGTAAATTCATTGTCTTCCAAATGACAGAGAGAATCTGTTTAAAGACATTTAGACGTAAAAAATATTCACAACTATCTTTATTAAATGGAGGAGATTTTCATATTTAAAGTAAAACAACAACAGCAAAAAAAACAATTACACTTGTTTCAGTGGAGCAGGTGAACTTTAGTGAAAGGTTTAATGAAAATGATTTCGCAGTGATCGTGAAAAAAATGCCAAAAAAATGATTTAGTAGCGAAAATGATTTAGCTTGTTTACAAGTGAAAGTGAATAAATTCAGACTGCAATATGCTTATTAGGCGAATTTATGGTTTAAGGTTTATATGCAATGTTTAATGTTTTATTCAAGGCCATGGAAAAGTTTACACAGATCAGGGTTAACATTTAACCAACAAAATGTTTACAAGAATGATATTGAAAGCTGTTCATGTACGCTTTGATGTTTACAATGTCATTACGGCTATAGTTGTTCTTTAACTTAAATCAAGCTATATCTAACGAGTTTGTGATGTTTCAGATAATATTAAGCCACTTAAATCAGCAGTAAACTCTGTGACCGCGCGGATCTTTCTACTGAAATTCGGAAAGGCAAACGTAAAATCCATAGGGGTGAATAGGGGTCGAAATAGATCTTCCTGTGGTGGGGAGGGGTGAAGTTTGCCAGAAAGTTGCATACAACAGGTTGGCATTTATTCCTTGAAAAACAAACTGCAAACTGATAAACTTTCCTCTGCCTCAAAATAACTAATTGAGGTACAATTTAATGATGTGCTAAAAGACACCCAATAAAGGAACAGCCCATAGCAGTAAAATGAGACAGCTAGAAACGTTGCAGCAACATTCCTGGCCAACTGAGTCAGGTCAGGGTGCTCTTCCTTCCCCACCCTCCACCCCCTTGACGAGATGTTAGTCGATCAGAGCTGCATGTAACTCCACGATGTATGAGAAAATTACACAGAAAAACTTCAAATTTGGGGGAGGTGGGTAAAGGTTAGAGAGGTTTTAACCCATGTGACCCTTTGTAAGAGAGGTTGGAACATATTATTTCTTACTACTCAATTCAGAGTCCTTCAACTTGTGAAGACAGACTCTGTTGCATAAAGTGATTTGCCTATGAAGGAAACAAAAACTCTAAAACTTCCGTGCATAGAGCTTGATTCTGAGCTCATCCAAAACTGTGTCCAATACCACAAAGACAAGACTTACCTTTTTCTGTCTTTTCATAGTCATATAGATCAAGTGTGATCTCTTTGGTTTTGGGATTGATGTCACTGTTGTTGCCAAAAGGAAAAGTGACATAAATAAATAAATATATAAACAAATAAACAAACAAAAGATTAATTAAAGAGAAACTTGAATTAACAATTAAAGAGTAAAAGCTTCTTAAACCACTTGAATATAAAAATGTCAGATCAATATCAGTATCTGGGCAACTGCCCACCTACCCCTCCCCTAACTCAACAACAGTCAATTAATAACAAGTTAAGGTTAATGTTGGGTTAGGGGAAGGGTAGGTGGGTAGTTGCCAGAGCTTATCCCAGTTTCCACATAGCATGAAGCAACTAAGAGTATTACTACTCCCCACTGGATGGAATGTTAGTCTATAGCAAGGTTGCCCCGCTGCACTTCACCAGTACCTATTTATACTCCTGGGTGGACAGGGGCACTGTCAGAGTAAGATGTTTTACTCAAGAACACAACACAGCAACCTGGCCAGGTCTCCATCCCAGACCTCTTGACTCAGAGTCCAGTGCATTGACCATCAGGCCACTACACCTCCCACTGGAAAATACATGTAGGAATTTTTCATGATAAATTGAAAACTAAGGGAGGCACAGTTTGACTACCAGTATTTATTTTACATAGTTAAAACAACTGATAAGGTAACTGATAATTAACCACAGAGCATTCACAGTAACTTGACAAGCTGCCAAAAAAAACAGTGATCGTTAATGTAAAACTTTATCAGACTTACAAAGTGAAATACTCATTCCAGAATGGATTTTCATTATCTCTGACCATGGTAGTTCTCTTGCGCTGAAGTGGGTTGCTGGTAGACACGATACAGTAAGGACTGAGTGATCCTGAAAATATCAAACATACATGATTTAACACAAGGTAAAAGAACAATTTAATTATGCTCAAACTGTTCCATCAGTTAGGAGGTTCTACAATGCCATGCATTTGCTCTGTAATAATCACAAATATAATCAAACTGTTTCATACAGAGAGGCAAAAGAATCGCCAAACCTGATGTCTATCTATATATCTTTACTCTGAAAGATCTGAGGTAAGGCAAAATCAAAATTCCTGTACAAACTAGCTTGATACTTAACATTGCCATAATCAAACAAAAAACAAAATAAAGAACCCAACTTACCACTTTTGACTTTTCCACAAAGACCACTTGCTTTTATGACTAACAAAGAAACAAAAAAGGAATTTTAGAGAGAAAAATCTTTCCAACTATTTTAAAATCCTTAACTGTTGTGAATACATCTGCCATTTTTCAATTACTTGTATTTTTCCTTTTTCCATGAGAAAATCTCACCTCCAGGTAACGATTTCCTATCATAATGGTAAATCTACTATTATCTCAATCTATTCTGTTGAGCCTTTTGTTCTACACTTAAACAAATGAAGCACTACCCCTCCCTCTGGTGTCCACATTTGTTAAATTCCCTACAGCTCCTATATTACTCTGACTCTGGATGATGATGACAGATCAAAGAGAGAATAGTCACCATTACTGCCCACAGTCCTTCTCAGGACTACCCTCAGACTACATGATCAAAAGAGAGTAGAATGACTGTTAACAGACTAGTCTGAGTCAAGCTTCCTCTTTTTCTACTAACTGATCATGTTCCATGAACACTGTTTTAGCCACATTAAATGATATAACTTTGGATCCAATGAACATACACAAGAAACAAACCAACATTTCCAATAACATGAATTCATCACACAAAAATCAACCAGTTTTAGAGCTGGTATTATGACACTCAGTCAAAATGCACTCTAACCCAACTCAATTTTTGCATAAAATCTTGCTGCCATTTTCTGGAACTTGTTACTGAAGAAAAATTTTACTCACTCTTTACAAGGAGTTTTCCTTCTTCTCCAATGCATGATGCTGACGAAGGAGAATCAAGCTGTTCTTTTGAATTAGCTGAACTCTACAAAAAGAATTTCCAAATTTTAAACTGTTAACACCACAGATCTGAATTAAAGTAAAACATACTTTCTTGCATGTGGCCAGAAAGAGAGTTTGGTTTATAATCAAGATAACAACTTCCAGCTGGTAGGTTTTGTCAATTCTTACAACCAACATGCTAGATAATGCATTGAAACTGCAAGGAGAAGTTACATGTTGGTCACATCTGTGAATTTGAGGGTTAAAGAGGTTTAATGGGAGCTCAAAATTAAATTCATTAGGGAGTAAATTGTTTCTTCAATAATTTCATTAATCTTTATCCTAAACCACATAAAAATTTTTTCATGACTACAATTGCAAATGAAATGGCACTCACGCATGTTATAAATTAAAATAAACACAATATATTATTGATGTGTGAGTTTTACAAATTGTGTTAATGAATTAACAATGTAACATGAAAACTACATATCAAACAACTGGTAGCAATTTAAAAGTCCAGAATCAAAATACATGTAGTACTATTCTGCCTTAAAGCTATACAACACTTAAATACAAAATTATATAAATATATTAGCTTGCTGCCTCTCCATGGTGATTTCAAGTATGCTACATCAAAACCCAACACTATCTTGACAGTTTACAACAAACAAAATGTGGGTCAATGTAAAGAAAGGTTAAATAACTGGCATGTTGTTTTTGCCCTGATGTGCCAACTATAAGACATAGTCAACCAGATAGTTATAATGTGAACACTCAAAGTTGCATCTTCATAAGTTCTTCATAAAGAAATAACATAAAATTTGCATTCTACCACAAGTTAAAGGAAGAAGAATGTTTAACTGTCACCAATACAACCAGATAAATAGTGCCTCCATGATTGGCATGACACTAAGCTATAATTTCATAAAATTTTATTAAAGAAAGTGGCTATCAAAACCAACATCTTAAAACTCATTAGAAGTAGAGGGCACGATTTGCCCAAAAATAGCTAATCTTAGAGAACCAACAGAATTTATGAAAAGGATATAATAACAATCTTAAGATTTACATGTTTTGATGAAAAATTCAGACATATTTTTGTATTTAATCTAGACAAAAATAGAATAAAAACATGAAGATTCTTGATGATATAGATACAAAAACAAAATCAGCCAAAGCTACTTGTTTTTACACTGCACACTGTTCATTTTATAACTTTATCTAAAAATAAAGGAACACAGTATGACTGGCAAAAAGGAAAGATTTCCTACCTTTGAACGTTGCCTTCCATTCATAAACACATAGACGTAAACATTGACAAAGTAGTTGTTTTCAATCTGTACATGAGAACTCTTCATTTGAAATTACTTTCCTTCTCAAGAAGCTACTGGCAAAAAAGATTCCTTGACTGTATTTGAATTTTTCAGAGCTCAAATGTCTTTTCACACATCACAAATCTCTCACAAAAAGGAAACTTCACCAAAAGCATGAGAGTCAAAGATAATTAATCAGCCTGAAATTCAGCTGGCTGTAACAAAATAGAATTATTTGAAAAATCTTGACAAAAATAACAATTTTAAAAGAGTATTTAAGTCACTGAGTAGGCCAGTCAATATTTACAGCAGAATGAACAAAAATACAAGCAGTGACTTGACTTGACTGTACAATTTTCCCAGTCAGTGCTGGAGTAAAACATACAATGCTATACACTCCATGAGAAGCAGTCATTCAAGAAAACAGATCCTTCAATTAATTATTTATGTGGAAGAGATTTGCATGACAACACTGGAGCAGGTGGCAGATTTAGCCAACTGAAAGAAGCACTTTTTCACAGTTTGAATTCGGCATTAACTCAAATTAAGCTTTAAAAGCATGCAATATAAAACTGAAATAATATTTTATTTGTTTCCAATCAAAATCAGGCTAGTCTAGCTTCCACCAAAAAGAAACTAAATTCTGCCATTAAAAAATCATTTTGAAAGTTCCCTTAGGAGATCACAAAAAACATCTGCTTTTCAAAACAATATTTCATCATTATACACTGCTATAAACCAAAATGCTCTAAAGAAACATTACCAATAAAAATAAAACAATCTTGCTTCAATCTTCACAAATGGACTTGTGTTTTATTTTATTTCATTTTGTTCCCCTGTATTTTATTTTCATGAAGACTTTGGACTGGCAACTCAAGCCTGAAAAAGAATCTTTCTTACTCAACTTTCTAAATGGAAAAAAAATCTAGAATGGTATAACCACAAACTGATGGAGAAGAATCTAGATTGAAATGAAATTCTAAGGGCACTCAGAAGAAAACCATTCTGTTTGTTATTTCCTCAGGTAAAACCTTTTTTTAATTCAGCTTTGAGACAAATTAATAGTATTTCATTTCCTATTTCAGATTAAAGGATTCTAAGTGACTGCAATGCTTTTAGTTGCATGTGTCAGGGAAATCTGCTATGCATTTTAAAATTTTTAAAATCTTTGTTTGGTTTGGTTGTTTTAAGTTTGTGGTTTTTCCATCTTTGCAAATTGTTGTCTACTGAAGATGCCTAGAGCAATAATGCTGGAATTTGCACTCACTTTTTTGTTTCAAAGATATTAATAATTAAATTTATCACTCTGAGGCAAAATAATTTGAAAGCACCTAAAATAAAAGAGCTTGTTGTTTCACCTTTTTTTTCTGGGAAGTTTGCCTGCAGGGCCCAGTTTTTCAAAAGCCAATTAGTACTAACCCAGAGTTAAATTTTAATCCTGGTTTCTATACTTCTTTGTTCAATAGCCTTTTTGGGATCATTTCCTCTACTCTATATGGAGCGTCCAATCATCAAATTGTTGACAAAAAGTATTATACTGAATTTTCTTCTAGAGCTTCCAGAACTGAAATCCGATTTCACACTAACCCTGGGTTCACTATACCCAGCTTGGAACAACCCAGCCCAGGTGTAACCTTTGTGTGATTAAACCAGTTTTTTAACCCTTTAACTCTCCAGATCTCATGAGTAATTCTCCTTACTGTCTGTCATATAGTTCATGCCATGTTAGTTTGGAGAATTTGGTATTAGATCAACTAATTATCCCCTGGTTAATATTTTTCTTTATTCTCATCACTTGTCTGCTTGATATTGTATTGATATTGTAAGGAGAAATTTTGTCTTGGTCACTCATAGGAGTTAAAGGGTTAAGCTTTCATCTGACAAATTGAATTTAAACTGTTGCTTTAACCTTTTATGCACTAACATCAGTATGCATATTCTCCATACTTTTCTTTATACATTTCCTAAGGTGCTGACAAGGAGAATTTACTCAACAATCAAGACCTTGTGATCATTTCCTGTATTCTTGTGACTCTACTGAGTGCCCTTGCGAACTGAATTCCCAGTTTTCTGGGAATTCCTAGGAATTCCTAGGAATTCCTAGGAATTCCAAAAGCCATTTCGCAAGGGTGATTCAGGGTGATATGGTAAGGAGAAATTACATGCTAGTCACTCTTACAGGTCAAGGAGTTCAGTACTAGTAGAGTGTAATTGCAGTCTACCCACATGATTGTCTATGAAGATTACTTCATCTGGTTGTATTTACTTACTGCATCTGAAAGTTGGTCCTTCGAAGAGGCCTCTGACAAAGGGATGTTAGTAATGGTTTTACATATCACCTCTTTGACTTTTTCTTGAACTTCACCAGCATCTACTTGGCTCTCCTGAAAAGAAATTCCAGTTTGTCAATTTAGAAAACAAGTATAATAAATGCCATGGATCACTTCACAACATGTGAACAGAGTTCAAAACAGGACAGAAAACACACCATACATGTAGTTGATCACAATAACCAGAGAACTAAAGATGATGGGGTCAATGTCAGTATCTGAGCAACTGCACACCTACCCCTCCCCTGAACCAACATTAGCTCAACTTGTTATCAATAAAGGGGGTATGTTTCTAAACAAACTGTGGTGCTGTGTTGGTGGGAGAGTATCAATGCCATACACAGCTACCAGCAAACTGCTCAGACAAATTGAACTCCTTGCCATCAGTTCTTAGCTGGTATACACCTTATATGTGAAAAATACATGCATTTGCCCTGAATAAAAGTTTTTCTCTTTTTTTTTCCTTCATCCAAATTAAAGATTGTGAATAAAGTAAGCAAATCAAGGATTTTACAGTAAGTTGTTGTACATGTACATAATACTCTGAAACTGTGCAGACAAACATGCTCTCTTTGACCTTCTTACTATGACCACAGAACAAATGTGTGCAAAATTTTTGCAGTTTTTATTTTCAGCATTGGCATTTTGTTAAGAGGCAAAATATATATCTGAGAACTTCATGCACTTTCATGAGTTTTTTTTCGCATAAAATGCTTGAAACAATTTTTTATCTTTAACTGCAAGGTTGGAAAATTGAATAAAAGTGACATTTCATTATCCTCTAAAATTCAACTTACAATGTACTCAAAGTCAAGTAAGTTACATGACTATAAACTGATAAAATTATGAATACTACAACATGTAACAGTTAGCAACAAATTAATTTAATAATTAAAAGCTAGTTAAAAAACACCTGCAGCAGATCAAATGCATTTTTGGATGGATTTCACATCAAATAACTTTTCATTTTGAACAACCATCACAAAATGCCTTATATTTCAGATACACTGTACAATACAATCTCTCATTAATAAGTCTCCCTCTGGATCACAAAATTCTGGTCACATGAACGAGTGGAGTTGCATGACAATTGGAAATTTTCACATATCTTATTTCTTAGCTAATGAAGGTAAACAAAAATTTGCTGGCAAGCAAAAACTTTGAAAACTTTATGAAACTGCAGCAGTGAACACACTAACTCAGCCAAAAGAAACACAAGATGATTGACAGACATTTAGTGAAACCCCCTGCCTACCAGCTCTTACTAAAATTACAATGGTTATTGTTTCCTAAAAATCAGAAAACAAATCTGCTACCTTGTAGGTGCTACAAAGACATACAAGTATAAATATGTACACCTATAAGCTTATATACTGACACTGATAGGTATGTGGTAATATCAAGATATCTTTTGCACCAGCATGCATCATTCCTGTCACTATGTACCAGCAATCAAAAATATGCTACTTTTAATTGTCCCACAACAGTCTCACTTGTTTGTAAAGAGGACAAGCTCTTAACTATATTTCTTTGCCCTTAGGAAAGAGTGAAGGAGCAAATGAACAAATACAGAGACCCAAAAGTTATTTCTGATGGAGAATTGTTTTTTTGAAGTTATCTAATGGTATCAGATTAGCTATGGTTGCTGTCAGTATCAATGTTACAGGACAGATATATGCTACTTATAAAAAATCTGATTTTTGTTTCAATATGAAAAGAAACTCAAAAGTTGTAGGTGGAGTTACTCTTCTCGTTAACTTCACACTAAGATTTGTTCTGCTTCTCTTAAAAAATATGCACAGCCCTTGTGTCAGCAATTGGATACAAATAACCATGGAACAAACATGGGTTTGCGAGTGTACACTAAAGCCACATTTGATTGCAAGAAGTACTGCAATTTAATTTGTACAATCAAAATTTGACATTTGCACTAAAACAGAAGAAAAATATTGGCCACAGTTTGGAAGATTCAAGAAACAGTACTTTTTTTTAGTTAATCTCACTTTCAAGCTTCACAAGGTTTTCTCTTAGAAATTAAAACCAAGATAAAGAAGCACAGAATCTGTCATGATCCAAATGACAATGATTGCTAGAATACAGACAGTGACAGAAAACCAAAAATTCCACTAAAAAGGCAACTGAGCTGTATTTTCATGGGACAAGGAGTAAAGAACTTGCTAAGAGTACCTGTCAAGGGTAAAGCTGGGGTGTGTTGTGATACTAGACACAAAATCAACTCTTACCCCATTAGAAAGATCAGGTGATGTTCTTATAACACACTGTAGTTTTGTTTCCTCACTCTGTTCCAAAACATCATTACCAGCGCCTGATTCAAACCACAAGACATTTTCAAAAATCACCCATCAATGCAACCAGTAAATGGATGTTCAACACAAAGAACCTTTCATCCAAACACAAGCCTCTTTTACCTTGTTTTGAAGAATCCTGTCCCATAATGGGAAGCTACCAGTTTGGTGTTAAACCAAGAATATCCTTACAAAGCCAGCTTACAAAAAGCCGCTGTCTTTCGACTGAAAATGCCAGTTTTTTCAGGGCTGAATAATTAATGATCTGTAAGCTTATTCCTTTTCTCCATGCACCAGTGTAATGCCAGAACAATGATTATGGAGGTGGAAAAAACTGTCAAGGGTCTGGGTAACAGTTTACATTCCTTGACAATTACATCAGTTTGTTGTAAATAACAAAGAGAGTTGAGAGCCTCAAAGCATCTGAGAAGACGGCACAAAAGAGATAATTGGAGTCACCTATTTATTTTAGGTTACTCCCTTTTGCAATAAAATTAAGAAAAATATTGAAAATTCATTAAAAGAAACACAGGCAAGTTCATTGTTTGAAAAATTCATTTTCACATTTATCACAAAATCAAAATGTTATACTTGGGAGATACAATTTCACTATGTGTGAAACTGCAGGTTTCCCTTATCAAACAAACTTTTAGAGAAAAAGAGTTTTAATTTCCAAGAAAAACCAAATTTTGAATACTCCTTGATTTTTAGTAACTATCTGTCATGAAAACAGCTAAGGAGAATACCAAAATTTATCAGAAAGGACACAGTCATTGACATGCATGCTGATCAGTATATTCTCACAACGAAAACTTACCAGCATATAACACCATTGAATGAGGAGATTTAAAATTTTGATGATTTAGATAAGAATGGATTTAAAGTTGATGAAATGGGTGGTAATATTGACTTAGCTAAATTGAAATGAATGGACACAGCAGGTGGAAAGGCAGGTACTTGGCTAAAAACCTGTAGCTGATTTTAACTTTAGGATGACAGGTAACAATTAGAGCTGGATAAAACAGACAGCCTGCAGGCACTAAAGTGTTAACGTGTATAAAAATTAATTTCTCTCGATACAACATTTTTGAAAAATATTAATAGTACTGTTGCAAAATGAAAATTGAACGAAGGGAGTCTAAAATGGTATTTTGAACTCAATCAGAAGAGTTTGCATTCCAATTTTTAAAATGAGTTTGTGATTTTATTATAATGTACAAAATTACCATCCATAATTAATGTGATAACAATTGTCACAAGACTTATGACTTTTCTATTGCCATTACTGATTGAAAATGAATTCTCCTAACAATATTCCGACATTTTTAAGCAGGTGATGAGAATTGTATTCAAGGGAACATCATATCATTCTGCACCTTGCTCTCAGAGCTTAAATCACGTAAGAAATGTAAAATTGACAGAGCAGAGAACTGATATAAGGATCTTGAGAGAGACAGAGCTAACTTGAATGTACCTGTACAGTGTAATAGCTTTATTTAGGCATTAGAGTTCACTTTCTTTTGGTTTAACAGCATAATAACGGATGTTAGGAAAACACAAGAAAAGTTTGCAAACCATAAGCTGTAGACATTCTCCCAACATCCTGCATGGGTCATTGCACCGGTAAACTGATACATATTGTGGTCTGTTGCTTTTCAAAACAACTATGGGTTTATCAACACAATAAACAATGGGTTTTTTACCAGTTAGGTGGCTTGTAGCATCTCGCTTGTTTTACAAAGCATAATAATCACAAAATTATAAATTTATATAACAAAATTCCCATGATAGTTGACTCGTTCATCAGACAATATAACACTATATTCCACATAAGAATCAAGCAGTTTGTGTTTTCCAAACCACAACACAGCATAGATCAATACATCTTGTAATTCCATATACAGATCATGCAGTTTGTGTTTTCCAAACCACAACACAGCATAGATCAATACAGCTTGTAATTACTTTTACCTTTGCAAGACACTTTGTGGAAAGAGCAATCTCAGGAACACCAATGAATTGAGCACTTATCTGAAGCCTTGAAGGGGAAGTGCTCAGTTTAAGAGCCACCTGGGAAGAGGAGACAATATAATGATATCAAAAGCTAACAACCACCAACCACAATTAAACAAACAGTCAGAAAAACATGATATTTGTTGTAAAATTTTCAGACAAACAAAACCAGACAGCAAGAGCTAATTTTGGTTTCATGAACATGATGCACCAACAAGTACTAACAGAGTATTAAATTGTCTTGAGGAATTTGTCAATTTTCTCTGAGAGTTTGGTGGTACTTTTCATTTTTCCTGGGCAGAGTTAAGAACTGTGTGAGAACATAATGATCCAGCCAATGGCACAAAACCAGATCAGTTGATCCCAGGTCCAGGAAGGAGAGTTCTCTATAATAATGGGTTAATTCTTTTAAGCTCCAAGATGATAAGTTATTGGTCTTTTAAAATCAAGAATTTACCTCTCCTGCTAGTCTAACCACACGCACTTCCATATGAGTGGTTTTGGGTCCTTCACTTGTCTGTTGAATGACGCGCACAAGGAAACCAAGATCAACTGACTCCACATGAAATGTGACGCACTGAAATCACAACAAATTGGATAATTTCCAAAAAAAAGATATTTACCACATTATAATAACACATGCTGATGATTATTGATTAGGAAACTTTCATAAGAGTGATTACAGAGTGTCATCTCTTAATTAATCCATGTTTCCATCAGACTAACATTTTTTCTCAAGTGCACAAAAATAAATACATGGAGTTTACAATGAAATGTGATCCAACAGAGAGAATTAATTTCTGACAATTACAGTGTTGAATATATTATATTATGATTCAATACATGATTTTCATATATTCATAGTCAGTTATTCTTCACTCCACAAGTTTTTTAGAAACCAACATATTGACCAGCTCCCTGTTAGCTTGTTTGCTCACTTGTTAAAGCACTGTACCAGTATCACAGAGGTCATGGGTTCAAATCTCGTAAAGACCTGAATTTCTTTAAGCCTTATTTTCACTACTGATAAGCAGGGTTCATTACTGCAATGATCACTTTGATATTCATTTTTTCATATCACATTATTTGTAAACACCTAAATGCAATCAATTTGATAGATGTGAAAAGTTAACATTATTCACACAATTTTATTAAAGCAGAAATGAGCACACAAAGAGAAAAAAATATACTGTTTTTTCTCATAGTCAACCGATAAATTTATCATCACACCCACCGTACCTGCATGTCACCACTGACAGAGAGACAGTACACACTTGTTAATTTTGGTGGTAGGCATCCTGGACAAAGGCTATCGATTATGATCCTCTGATCTTTCTAAATTACAAACATTTATAAATCAATGAGGGATTTACTGGAACATTTATAACAATAACATGGGATTGGTTTTGCTTGAAAAATCAAATCACACAAAATTAATATCCTCAATACATCATGGAATGGTGCCACGCAGCCATGTATACTCCAGTTCCCATAAAAAATTAACAGCGAATGGATACTAAATGAAATGATCATACATAAATAATGGCTTAATTTTAAAAAAAAGTTTATTCAGTAAATCACGTATGATATCCAAAGTTAAATGAAGGCACTAACACCATGAACACAAGAAATGAGCTGAAAGCAATTTGGTGTTGCGTATACAGCAAGTTTGCTGAAAAAAATGCAAAAAATTTCCTGGCTGCAATCATCCCAATTTTAATCTTTAAAAAATAGTTTGCTAGAGGCTAGGTGTATCTTGTGGAAAGACTGGATGGGATCAATTAGCAACATTTGCTGAGCCAGAGGGGAAAATTTCGTTTAGCATTATAATAACCCAAAGAATCCATCTGCTTTTTCATTCTTCTTCAGAGATGGCTAAGAATTGCAATATGGCCATTTCCAAAATTAGTGCCTCAGAACTATCATAAATCACAGCAGTTGAGATCTGTTGCAATTCTAAACCAATCACAGTGTGGGTTTCTCCAAAATCACTAGGTCACAGTTGTTCAAAGAGTGGATATATACTATCCAATGGGTTAATCTTTATCCATTGGATAGTGCAGGTCTTGTTAATAGTTATCCAATGGATAGTGATTTATCTATTGGATTGAGGTATTTGCCCCTCTAACAACCAGGCTCAGAGCAATTATGCCAAATGACATGAATTAATGACAAACTCAAGTGAGTATGGAGGTGTAACACTGCAATTGGTTAATCCTCCATTAATCACCTCACACGTGGTGACTACAATAACTCTGACTCAAGAGCTCTCGAGTTTATTCATCTTTCTATACAAGAAACATATACATTTATAGACAGTACATTCGCTCTCACGATAGCCTTGCTGATTGCGCTTGAGTCAATTTTCTCTCAGCAAACTCAAAATGATATTGTTAATTGAATTCTGAAAAGCAATATTTATCATTTGTTTCTCGTTTTTTTGAAAAGCAGTGTATATAAACATTGAACAATCTACATTTCATTAACAAAAAAGATCAGGGCACATTTACTTGAAATCATAATATAAAAGTCAGGCCTTCATCAATAAACATAATTTCAAGAAATACTCGAATACAAACACAAGATTCGCATTAAAAAATCACCGATATTTCAAGAGATGTTGGCGGGAAAATGATGGGGAATCAATACCAACGTTAACAATAAAACAAGATTACCTTTTTGTTTTTCTGAAGTTGTTTATTTAAAGCCCGTAACCAGAACCTGATAATGTTTGGGGTTCGATCTTTCCCTTGAGCGTGAAGGTACAACCACGCCAAAGTTGAATTCAGCCATGCACAAGGTTCGATAGTTACTGCTCGATTATCCTTCGTCAAAGTTCTAATTTTCCGGCTACGCTTCTCGTCCTTGTCGCCACTTGAATTCTTAGACGGCCTTTGAAGAAACAGAACCACCAGAAACAGAAGTAAAAGATGCAGAAGGACGACGTAAACCTTTACAGGGAAAGACAGGTCTTGGACGAGTTCAACCGCCATTAAATGACAAAAGCGAGCTCCACTTGTTGAAGGTTTTAAGACTTAGAACTGTTAACGAAGAGTTTCGAGTTCAAGGTAATTTAACACGCAGCAAGCCACTGAAATTGAGACAGCGTCTACTGATTAATCTCTCAAAATAAATAGCCATTCAAATAACGCTTGGATTGCGTCGCGACTCAAAAATACACAGTGTTAACTTCCCTTCGCAAATACAGCGGGATTTCAGGGGAGACGATTCTCTAATCTTTCGCTCGCGTGTGACCTGCCACGATGAATAGTCTATTCTCTGCACACTTTAAGCTCCCTTGCGTTTCGATCCTGATGCTAATGTGTTTCCTTCATGAATATTTCAGGTGATTATCTAAACAGACGTACTATTCATCATCACCCAGACTTAGGCGATCCTTGAAAGCCATGGAGACAAATGCCTCCTAGCGATCATAAAGCATTGTGACCGCAGATGCTCACCAAAATTTCAGACTTAAAATTCAGTGACTCCTGGAACCTTGGAAGACACGTTCTTCCCTCTCTGTATTCTCGTTCTTTGATAATTTTATCGATGATTTCTTGACAAACACCATAAGAAATTACACTAGTTTTGTCGTGTTTTGGCAAAATGTTAATGAGAAGGGATTGGACACAAACATGTCAACAAAGGAAACACATGGAAATGTCAAACAGCGGCATGGACTTCGGAAACGGCAAACAACGATAATTGCTCTCTCATGGTAAATCATCAGAAAATGTGTTTAATTTTGCGTGCATGAGTCCTTTTTAAATCAAGCTTTACGCTAAAAAGCACTTAAAACGCACAGTTAGCATTAGAAGGATAATCCATCACTTAAGTTTCCGGTTCGTAACAGAGGTCAACCGTCATCACCAATGCATAGTATTTTTGTCAATCTGGATCACTCTCGTTCCTCCTAAGTCACATCTTACCTCTATTTATTACCTTAACTTGCTATCAGTTGACTATTGTTGGGTTTGGGGAGGGGTAGGTGCATGCTCAGTTGCTCAAATACTGACATTGGTCCAACAAATGGCTATTTGATGGTTTCTTTTTAAAGATAATTTTTATATAACTTCAACCCTTCCACCCCTATACTAAGAGAAAATAATGGGACCATAATTTTCTCTTGCCTATACCTAAGAATAAGTATAAATTATATGAAATTTACGCCAATTTTTTTTTTCAGGAAATTTAGCGTTTTATCAAACAAACCCTATTGTTTTGTTTTTTTTTTTCTCATTACTTACCGGAGAGTGTCCTTACCGGATGTTGTAAGGAGAACTTTCTGTGTGATCAGTGCTAGAAGTGAAAAGTTTAAAATGACTCGAAATACTGCGATTTCAGCACAAGTCTCACTGCATTCTTTGCGAAACAAAACTAATAACGAGCAAGGTAAAGGTGAGAAAGAAAATTCCTAATAAGTTCTACCTTACACTGTGAGCAGTCCCCCTTTTCCGACAAAGTCCGTTGCGCGAGTCATATTCACAGAGCTCCCCGTGTTACCATCGGCCCCCTGAATTTAACTAAAATTTTGATCCCGAACTAAATGTTTTAGATTAGGAGGCGATTTTCGGCACCCATGCATAGGAAACTTAAAATCAAAGCCGCACTGGTAATACGTATTCTGAGCTAAGATTGGATGGAAATCAGAAAAATATATAGGAATTTTAAGGTCTTGTAAGGTGTCTGTTAGGTTCGCTCTAATTTGACCAATATCTCGCACTTTATAGGGTCCTGAAAGAGGCAAATTCAGTTTTTGCACTGCAGAAAAATGTAAAAGTAAACGGTCGATCTCCATTCACGCACCAAAAAAACTAAAAAGAAGCTCCAATGCGCGCGTTTGCTTCTCAAAAAAACAAATTGTTACGTCATTTTTCAGCAAACGTCAGAACGCGCATTTTCTTGTGTTTTAAGTGAGCTGATTTCACTATGGGGAAAATTTTCTCCTGTTTGCAGTGTGAATGTACTAAAACGAAAGTTATTCCGCTAGAAATTTTGCCAAAGACACCGGAATTTTCCGACGAACCGCTTCCTAGAAAAGACGATTTTCATCATCCGGTACAAAATCAGTGGTCAAACGTTTACTCTCGCGGTTCGCCGCAGAATGACTCTGGAGAAGTGTCAATTTGTTCTTCATTAGCGACCATTTCTTTAGGATCAAATCAGACACTCTCTTCGTCAGACTGTTTAAGGACGGAAGGAGAGGAGCTAATAGATGATGAGAATGATAATACTCCATCGAGCAAAAGGCATCCCGGTAAGATTATCTCAAATGGAACCTGAAAAAAGAGGCGCAAAATGAAACAGCTCGCGTGCGTGTTTTACTGAAAATTTACTTTTGCTTTTCATTAGCACCAACAGCAGTAATTTTTCCGGTTCTTCTCAAAGTTGGTAACGAAAAAGAGCCCGTGGTGATACCACTTTCTTCTCATTTTTCCCGTTCAGGTCTTTTTACTCCAGAGCCTGACTACAGCCTGGTAGATACCCCAGAATTTCCCGCTGGCGAGGATAGTCGGGAATGTAGTTCCACCTCACCTCAAATGATGGATGGATGTCAGTCACACGTGGAAAACCATTTGCACATTGGAATATTGACATCTCCTTCCACAAAAACGAGACCTGGCGAATCTACCCTCATAATGGTGAAGCCTTACTCAGGTGAAAGATCATTTCATAATTATGAAGAAGCATACTTCGTTTTTTCATCGGAGGAGGATTTGTCCGGCCGAGTAGAAGTGTAAACAAAGGGTAAAAAGTGCGGGAAACTAGATTTGGTATGGTTTTTAAAACGCGAAAACATTTCATCAGCGTCAAGCGCGCTAAAAACACATACCAACGCAAGTAAAGGAGATAAAAATTGTTTTTGTTTCTGTTTTATCTGTATGTTTTTTTCCTGGTAAATACGTTACAGTGGCCATTCAAAGCTCGAGATTTTTTTGATCACGTGTTGACCTGCTTGATCGATGTTTCTCCTCTTTAAGACCCCGGTCATAACGTTCCGGAGGAGAATGGGCATCAGCGCGTATGTATTCATGGGATACCATTAGGAGGTATGAATGGTGATCCGCATCAAGTGGATTGCACTCTCTGCGAGAGGCCTGGATCTAGAGGAGGAAGGGCTCTTGCAGGCATGATAGCCTTCCGGAGAGCACAGTCCAAAAAGCGAAAGTCTGGGTCGCTTCCTCAAAGGCAAAAACTGACCGAAGAGCATGAACAGATGAGGAAAACCACAGAAGAGTATGACAAAGCTCTACGCGAGTTTGCTAAGCGACACCAGAACGACAATTAAAATGCTCCTAAATTTTTCAGATTACTTCGTTAATTGGGAGGATTTGAGGAAAGGAAAACAGGAGAGCATTTCCGGGCAGTAACGGGGTGAAAGCATTTGCCCAGGCCGGGAGAGGATTGGTGCAAACAAATAGCGTGTTACCCAACGCTGTGTCCCAAAACAGGACATTTTGAGGAGAGCACGGGCCTAAAACTTTCGCTCATCAGCTGTGGAATAGAGTCAAGTCATAGGTAAATAGCTTGGAAGTGCGGAATAACTGTTACTATGGGCAATTATGGTGCTGTTTCATAAAAACGAAGATTTTCTAAGGCTCCTTTCTTGGCCGAAATTTTGTGAAAATTTGTGGTCACAAATTGGCACTGACAATGTTTTAAAAGGAACAAAATAAAAAGCAACTACTTTAAAATGACTTTATTATTCTTTTTTTTCAGTAGATAACAACAAAGAACTAAAATGTGATAGTGAAGTCTAATCGTCTGGGTGAGTGTAGTAATGAGAAGGAATGTTGTCGTTGGTGGTGACTGACGTTTCGACAACCTGAGCGTCATTATCAGAGTCACTTGACAATAACCAAGTCATTTGACTCTGATGATGACCTCCACTCGGGTTTTCGAAACATCAGTCACCGACAATAGTCTTTCTCAGGACTACACTCACCCGAACGATCAGACAACACTATCACATGACCCCCGGGTTCAAACCACTTACCGCATAAAGAACTGAAATGTACAGGATCTCTTCATTACAAACATCCTTTTGTATTTTACATTATAAACACAAAACAAGTATATGATTTACTAAGATGTAACTCATTCGCATTACATACAACAATTAAAGATATTCTATAAATCGTGATATTTACAGTTATAAATACAATAATTCTACATTTGGGTATAATATTACAGCGAACTCTTCAACCGAGTGCCGTGAAGTTAAAACCAAAGCACTCACTACAACCAATCAGATCAAAATCTCTGACGTTTTAAGTAGGCAATGATAAATTAGGGTAAGCAAGTACATGAAAAACGCCAAGGCGTGGGAAAACGCGGATAACCAATTCACGATTAATTTTCTAGATATGCATCTGATTGGTTGTTTAGGCGGGCTCGAGTTTTCCAGACCAATCACAGAGCGAGGGAAAACGTGGACAACCAATTAGTCCTAGTTTTTTATCTGATTCTTTGAGAGACAGACACATTTTTGAGACCCATCTCAGAACGCAGCTAAGTAAAACAAATTAAATCCGGTATTCTATGCGAAACTTGACTTGAAAGTTCCCGTTACATGTTTTGCATGCTTTATCACCATTTCATTTTGCTCCAGGATAACCCGCAATGGACCGCGGTTAATCCAAATGTTATTAGCAGCTTATCACCCTTGTCACCAGACCCTCCGTTAACAGTCTCTGATAGTTTTCTATCCTGGACTCCATCTTCCATGACAGTGGTTTCAGTTTCGTTCTTAGAAGCTCCTACTCTGTTACACTCGTTGCCGGTACAACAACGGACGCAGACGCGTCTCACTCCAGACCCCACCAGTTCCACCTCTCGGCGACATTGATCGTTGCATGAGTAACCTCTCAATCCGTCATCACTAGAACAACCCAGCATGAGCGGCAGAACGCTAAAAAATATTAGTAAGCAATGGTAAATAAAAATAAGCTGTGGTTAAATAATTACATATTTTTTTCGGAAGAGAGCAACAAGTGATAATTTATTTGGTTTCCATCCCGTGAGCCCTAGCTGGCGTGCCGTTTAATTACTTCCACTTTTTGAAGCCCTTGCTCTGTTGATAAGATTAAATCACCGAAGTAATAGAATTAACACTCGAGATCTTTCAGTCCTCCCCTAGGACATTCAAAGAAACAAGGGAGATGCTGACAATCTGTCACGAGCTCAAGACCACGAATCTGTGTCATTCTCGAAGGCTTAAATCTTTCAATTTTGCATTCAGGTTGTTCTCCAACTACGACATGCAGGCAAGTTAGGTAATGCGTTAAAAAGTAACTGTATAATTGAAAAAGATGATGCAGGGTTATCACTCTCTTTTCTAAGAGAATCGCAATCCAACTCTCTAACGGTAACGGCCCTGGCTATAGCTATAGCCGACATAAAGCCGCAAATTTTCTACGCACGCACGGCCGTGCGCGTTGTAATCGCGCGCGAATTGATGCGTAGTAACTCTGCGCAATCCTGATAACATCACTTACCTTGAGTTCGTCTCCGCTGCACTTTCTGGTTTATTCAAGGTAATGGCTAAGCATTTATCTCCGGGTGGACATTGTTTGATCGTCATGTGATCTCTTTGGCACATTCTTCTTTGACATGTAAGGCACTTTGGACCCGCAGTCATAACATCAAGTTGCAGATATATTTCTCGTTTTCGTACACAACACATCTTCCCATGCCATAGGCGACCACCAGAGGAAGAATTAGTTACCAGGTTTACGCGATCCCCAAGACCAAAACAAACGCGTTCGCACGAGTATTTTTTGTTCTCGTTAGCTCCTTTTTCATCCACTACTGTTTCTTTCATCGTCGAGACGCATACATCCTTTCCGTGAAACTTTACTTTCAGGTTGCTGTTAAAGAGATGTACTTTTCCATCATTGGGTATTGTGTGATAAAATGGCTTCGATAGTGGTCGCGGACTGTCACGACGAAAGTTCACAGACTCGTTCACGAAGCGTCTAACACGAAGAATCACGGAGGTCATGCCACCTGTCGATCCGTCACGCGGTTGGCACGAGATTACGCGACAGCTGACCATGTGGAGGCTGAACCAGAGAAGCACTCCATGGATGACAAGAACGTTCAAAAGAACTGATCGCTTCCCAAGACTGTTAGACATCTTTCTTGAAAGAGTTTGTTCTAATGTTTAGTTGAGGATTGGTTTCGCATTGAATATTTATGTATTCCAATTACCGGGCACTCCTTATCTCTGCTGGTCAAGTGATGGACGTTTTGTATTGGATCATTTCCGTTTTGATTAGTCTAGTACGGCTTCCGTCTCAGATCAATGACAAAACAATCCAAACGAAGACCAAAAAAGTCAAACTTTTCCGGCCTTTGTTTCACCTTGATTTTTCCCTCGTAAAGGGAAAAATCGGGTTTATAGTAGAAAGGAAATGAATTTTGCAAGCTTTAAAAAGTCAACTTTTAATTAGGAAAAACAACTTGACCGCTTTAACCTTGAATCGCCAAAGCAGTAGGTATCCTCAGAGATATTGTTGGAGTATAATCCCTCTAAATGCCCTTCCGAACCATTAAACCGGCGATTCGTTCTATAATTCCTTAAAACTTTTCTTTCATTGCTTCTTCTCTCTGAAGATTTCATGTTTAATCTAAGTTAAATTACTCTTTGGATTACTCAAACAGTCAATCTGGGAAAAATATGTTGTTTATTTAGCTCAGGATGCTTTTATCACTGAGTGAAGAATAGTTCGCCCCTACATTTTTCTCTTTTTCAGTATTACCAAACCGGGATGAAAAATTTTGACCTTACCTGATGAATCATCCAAAAAAAATTTCATATTACCTCTGAAGTTACGAAGGTTCTTGCAGGAACGCATGATCGGTCACGAGTGACGGATTAGAACATTCGAATACCATATATGATCAAGTTGCGTGACTTATTGTGTAACATCAGTGTGATGATGTGTTTATTCAAACTCTTTAGTTATTTCAGTTTACATTCTATAATAGGAAGCGAAAAGGTACATATCCTGAACTTCACTGATTTTTATTAAAAAGGGAAAACTTCTTTTGACTTAACTGTGAGTATAATGGAGCATGGCATATAAAATTATCACAATTTTAAAGTAGGCTGTACATTTTAGCTTTTCACCCTTCAGTTGTGAACTTTGACGACCCTTTCCGCGATTCATAAATGTCAAAGGAAATTATCTTTCGTAGGTCGACTTGTTTCATTTGACTTTTCTCAGTGTTCTCAGCAAATATGTTTTGTCATCAAACTTAAGGCGATTAGTATTTGTCAAAACAGCGGAGACTTTCCGCGACTGATATAAAATTGCGCATCCGAAAGCCGGCTCAACTTATGGCATGAGTTTTTTGATCCAATTGTAATGGTATAAAGTAAGGCAAAACCAAAATATTATCAATATAAGCAAGGACCCAGTAAACCTAGAGGATCCGCAGTAACTTAACGTTACCCACAATACACAGAGGAGCATCAGAGAAAGAGCATCAAAAAGCGGTCTTCTTTTGCAAAAAAGAAAATTCAGCTTTGTCGGAGCACACATGCCTAACCAACCATACAATTGGGTGGGATAAATCTAAAAATTAACACTGCTAATCGACGTTACCACCAGCGCCTTTGTGTGGAAGCCTGGCATATCAACTCCGCCCACGCTTCTTTAAATCGTGATGAAGGCGGCTTTCTACCTGACGCCTATTTACACCTCATCAGAAAAAAAGGGTAGCTAATTAGTGAGCATATAAAAGGACATCTTGTTGCAGCGATTAGATCACCCCTGATGAAGGGACAAGACAGGAGTGTCGAAACGCTGGGTCTATGAGTTGTAACTTCTCGGTTACATTCACTAAATCTTTAAACCATAGTAGCATCAAACCATCTCTGATTGTCCACCTGGTTGCCATGTGAACTTTAATATAACATAGAGGATATTACACGGTGGCGAAAAGATGTTAATTTTATGTTCGAGTAACAGGGACAATATCTTCGTGTTCTTGCCACGAGAACATAAAATTCGTATCTTCGAACTAATGTGTAATTTTCTTTTTATCACATGGAAAACATCGTAGATTTTGAAAATATGGCTTTAATGTTAATACTTGTCTTGTCACAACTTTCGACAAATCCCTTGACTGATCTTGAGATGATAATGTCTTTTCTTTTTGGTGTTCTTGTTATCTTGTTGTTCGGAAAGTACATTTACATACGTTCGTAGCTTACGACATCAAATCTTGCGACGACCATTATTTCAAACAACGAACATTCAGTGAATGCGGAAATCGTGTCGTCATTGTTCAATATGACCACTCGTTCACCACTCGTGTTATAAACGAAATATACACTATGCACTAGGTTCCCGGATGTGGTGATCGTATTGATTCTTTTATGCACATACATATAGTACTTTATCAACGTGCACATTACTATTATGAAGCTTGCTTACGCCATATTGTTCCACGAGCGCGCGTTGAATATGTGATGATAGATGGCCAACGAGGCCCGTATTTATTCTCGCGACCTTAGTGTTTGATTCAAGGATAATACTGTTGGGAAAATTAGATGCGAGTTACCCCAGTGATAATAGCGACGGTAGTCGCTCGCAGAATCCTGTTAAATGGGCCACCGGCATCTGGTTAGCTGCGCATATCTTGCCAATTTAGGTAGAGATTGCGAGAAAAACAATAGCGCGTGACTACTAACTGCAGCCACGAATGTGCCACAACGGTCGACCTTGGCAGTGGTGACAAACCCAGTCACAACAATCCTCTCATAACCATGGGTTGTTCGGATGCGAGTTGGTTCCGTCAAATTGGTGGCCAACGTAACAAATGCTACAATAAATGAAATGAAGGTTTTCAGAGCGGGTAGAAAAGACTGATTTTGCCTTTACTGCTGCCAGTGCAATAAAGTGAAAAAAAGTGGTGAAAAGTGCAACTAAGTGACGCCTGAAATCAACGCTGGATTGCAAGCGAATAGAAATCTTGTTGCAACGGCAATATAGGTTTTACCACTGGTTTTCGTGACGTAATGTGTAAAATTATGTCTACTAAAATCAGGCGATTATTCGAAGACTCTAAGCATTTCCGACGAGGAAAATAATAGAAACTGAGACATAGCCTGCGGCAGTATTTTTCAGAACATACATTTTTAGATGTGACATCGAAGGGCAAGGTAAACCTGAGAGTGCTCAAGAGACTTCAAGAATATTGGGAAGGAATTTTCTAGCTTTGTCATAAGAATTCATCCATAACATCCGAAACAATACCATTGTGTGATCAAATTCTAAAATTGGCCTGACTGTGGTCTGTCGGTGTGCGCTACTGCAGCTACGTTAATCGTTTAAGAACAGTAGCTATTGAGTTAAGTGTTCAAACGATTAATACGACCAAGAAAAGAATTCAGTTCAACAGGATGAATGTACTCGCACTTGTCATATCTATAGCGGTAACTGCCCAAACAACAGCACACGCTCGCAAAATCCCGCTTGATCAAGCACCGGCGTCTGGTCAACAATGTCTATCTTGTCAGGGTGAAGACTGTAACGGAGAAGCGCCGGTGACGGCTCACTGCAGCCAAGAGTGCGCCACAATGGTCGATCTAGGAAGTAGCGACCAACCCACTTACGACAATCCGCACATAGTGAAAGGTTGTTCAGAGGAGATTTGGTTCAGTCAGCATGGTGGATGTCGGAACGCGTGTTTTGACGAACGGAAGACTTTTGGAATGCAAAGTGGAAGTAAGGACTGGATGTGCCTTTATTGTTGTACAGGCGATATGTGTAACAAAGTAACCCCCGGAATCAACGCAGGATCCAGGGCGAATAAAGATTCTATTGTAACAACGATGCTAATCGTTCCGCTTTTACATCTTGTTCGTGTGTGCATGTTGTAACGGCGAACAGCTTCGTCGTTTAGATATATTTATACCACCAGTAGACACTGACCATGTTCAGCCTTTTTCTGGAGAGAAGAACAACTATGTACTGATTTATCATCTTCGTTATTTGAGTTTTGAACCCGCGCAGCAGAACAATCATTTGTGGATGTGTTAGTGAGGAGAAAATTAGCCTAAGTGTGCTTAGTTCAAAGATTTGACGAATATTTTAGAGATTGTCGTTTAGATATTGCTCCAGAGACAAGTAACGGTCTTTGATAGTAATCATGTAGCGAAAAAAGATTTATAATAGCTGACCAATTCTGATTTTGTAGTGATACTAGCATGTTATCTATTGGATCATATCCTACAGCAGTTGTTTTCTACCTCTTATACAATACTTCTGAACCAAATAAATGAGAATCAACGAGGACAAGAACTTTGATATTGTTTTCCTAAATACAGAGAATTTAATTGAACAAGTGTATTGTATATAATTCTATCTCACACTGCTTTTGGCTTCCTCATGTTCATGGACTGTGGATGTATTTTTTCTGTCTTAAGTAACGACCGCAAATATTTCTCAGAAGTTTCAAAACGCGTTGGCAACTTCCCTAAATGTTTGTTAAGCTTTAATTATATATACTGGATATAGGGCTTTAATTATCCAACTGCACCGTAGAAGAGTACAAATATCCTGCGATATTGTAAGGTTATTTGAACGGTTGGTTATTTTGTGCCAGTCGGCTGCGAGCGCTACGCTTCTCTATCCGTTTTGCTTTTCCCGGCTTATGAGAAATGAGCAGAAAGACTTACAGAAAAAAAAAAAAAAGCAACTGGATAATAAATAACTTATTAGACGTTTTGGTGTGTAGTATCGCTGAGTATTTTCACTCATTAACTGCCTTTAAATAATGGTTTAAGCGTTTCAGTGTGAGTAGCCAATATAACACAAAGTGGAATAAAGGAAGCCGTGGATGGAGGGACAGGCAACAAACTCACAGTTTCGAGTTTGAAGGGGTGAAGATTGTTGTATGCCACAATATCCTCTCCTTCCGCTAAAGAGTTTTTTTTTCTTGTGGAAATCTTGTTCAACTCTGCGTTTTAGTGAAGATCAGAAAATGTGAACAGAAAGCATGAAAGTTAGGCAATCTCTTGGGGGACATTAAAATGTTTATAGGCGAGGTTCATCGATACACTCTTTTCACATAGCCATGTTATTTTTACAACAACGATTCACCACCCTTTATGAAAGCACATATTGTAAAATTTCAACACTTTAACAATCTAAGAAATAGCCTTAAGTTAGAAATTCCACCTTTCAAAACCAGTAACAGAAAATTTTCTATATCCTACAGGGGTTCAGTTTTGTGGAATCCCCCTTTGAAATCGCTTCTTCTATTCTTTCAATTCTTCATGAGTTCTCTTAAACACGACGTCGCGTAACAAGAAGGTTCCAAACTAAACGAGATCTCAAGACTACTGCAGCAGCCCTCAGATCTTCGACAAACCTCACTGAGTTCTGTTGGTCTAAAATCTTTAGTTCTGTCGTCGTAACAGTTACTGCTTGATGCAAGTCGCGGTCTTTTCGCGTCACTGTCACTGTCAACACAACTTGAGTCTTCTGTTGCTGTACAGTGATCACTCCTGGCAGAGTAACTATCTTCCGTTCGTGTACGCTCTTCTCCAACATATCTATATGACAAATCCCATGGGAATACCACGAGCTTTCTGTAAGTACCAGGCAAGTTCATACCCAGACTCCGCAGCCTGAAATAAACAGCGCAGAAGAAAAAAAAACTATTGTAGACTTCAAGTGACAATCTGTTTATGGGTTCAAATTTAACAAATTGTCAAGTAAGGGAAATAACACCAACCTAAAACTTTTTGCAGTCAACCCGTCCGTTTCCAGCCTCTTTTTATACCTACAAAAAGGATATTAACTTAACTCTTTACAACGTGCAATTATCTTTATCGATAGAGAAACTTTTTTTTTTTAACTCGCCTAAATTAAATCAACAAGGAATCATTCTGTCTCGTTATTCTCTTTTCCAACCGCCACGTATTTGTACCGCAAAAAAATTACTTCTCATAAACGGCCCACAACCGACAAAGTTAAACCCTCGACCCTTTAACCCCCAAGATCTAATTGTTGATTTTTCTCTCTTGCTGCTATTTCCTTGTAAATTAGTTACGAAAATTAGCTGTTGGATCAAGATGACAACTTCTACCTGATAAGTATGAGTATTTTCAAGACCTGTTTGCAGGAGAAGTTACATGTTAATTACTTCTGGGAGTTAATGGGTTAAACAAGTCCGAATTGATATCATCTGAGTTGTTCACTTTGCCTTCCACGCTATACAACTATCGCTTTAGAAACTAATAATTAAATCTGCCATTTTATACTCACTCGTTCCCCACATCATTTGTTGGATACTGAATGTTGTAACCAGGAAGCGGTAAAACTACATCTTTGAGGCCATGCTTTCCTTCATCCTGATCAGAAACACATCTCACGCAATCCCTTCTTACACCACTGGTATCATCTTCGCACGAATTTCCCGCGCTAGCACTTTCACAATTGTCAGCGGTCGCCGAATTTTTTAATTCATCTACATTTGCAAACTTTTCCGCGATGAGGTCACCTTGTACAGCCGCTGTCCGCCCGTATCGCTGTATCCTCAAAGTCGCCATCTGGTTCCAGACCAGGCTGCAATAGCTGTGAACGTACAACAAGCGCATGGAATAGGGAATGTTCAGTAGCGCCTTCCGACAACCATCCTATACAAGAGAGAAAATTGAGTTTCTAGATCTAGCTTCAGTGCTGCACAAGCATTGGGCATTTCGATGCCATAACAGGGCTCGAAATAAAGCTAAACGGACTATTTCGGGTCAAATATAGGTTTTGACCTGTCAACTTCGAGGAGGGCCGGACATTTTGTTCGGTTGTTTACGCATGTAAACAAGAATTTAATTCCAAGCCGCTAAGTTCGAGTTTTTAATATTTTTAAGGTTTAACATTATTGGTTTTCTAGAAGGAAAAAAACGTAAAGACATACTACCAGACAAGGAACTTTTGATAAACATTTCATAACTGATAACAGTGATTGTACAGTTGCCAGTGGTAGCAATTTTCGCGTTCTCATTTATCAGATTGTCATTGCAAATTTGGCAAGTCTTTCAGGGAAACGCGTGTAGTGTTCAAAATCGGACACTAGTGTCCGAAATCAGACACTGGTGCCCAAAATCAGAAAGTAGTGTCCAGCATTGGACCTCGGTGTCTAAAATCGGACTGGAGTGTCCGCAACCGTGCACTGTGTGTCTGAAAAAGACAATAGTGTTTCGAACCAACCAACCCATCGAAACATCACAAAACGTTCCTTAGAGACTAATAACTTTTAGACAAAGATATATTTTCGGGCTAAAAGCATTCATCAAAAACATAAAAAAAGTGTGGGGAATTGATTAACTGACCACGTCGGTCCCGTGTCTATGAAGTCCTTTGAGTACCAGAGTTTCACGGACTTTATAACTGGGCATCTTACTCAATGTACCTTGCACGTCACCTGTCTCGCAGTAATACCTAACACGAAAGAAGATTAGGAAAACGAAAAGGAAGATTATAACCATGCCATTAGTAAAGAGAAGAGGGATTTTCATCTGGGAGCAACTCTCAGTTACTTTAAGCGTTTGCCTTGCTTTGCCCTGTGATTGATAAAAAAAACTTGCCCCCAACTATGAACCAATGGGACACGAGTTGTTTACGCGAGATTTCCTGCGCTTTTGACTGGCTATGTGTGCTTGCTTGAGTTTTCATGGTATCTTCCTTTGTCCTGAATGGCTATGGTGATTATTTTGGCGCGGTTCTCGAACACTTAATGGAAAAGTCTTATCTTATGCCTATTGCTGACCTCTTAGCGGAGTCCACCGGATTGTCTGGATTATTTTCCGATGGAGTCAGAAGAAGTTTCACCGCTCGTACCTACACAGAAGAAAAGAATAAAATTAATAAAAAACATTTTTAGACGGGGCCAATCGGGCTTGCAGAAGCTGAACCCAAAACTTTGAAATTCATAAAATTTCGAGGGTAAATACGACCAAATCAATCTGTAAGCCTTTATTGTTTTACACGTGCTGCAGTTTGGGAAATTACAATACACAGTTACTTTTCTTCAATATCTTTGTGAGCCCACATTTGGACTTCAATTCCTGCACAACACGTATTACTTGGAGACTTTTAAAACAAACTGTAAAAATTACAAAATTTCCTTGCCATATCTCCTTGTAACATAGCAAGCCCGACATCACACGCATTTACTTCTTTGTCATCCAAGCCAAACCTTTGAGGGCCAAAGTAATTAAGAAATCCATGAAGAGACAGAGAGGATGCTGCATCCTAAAAAACAAACAAACAAAAAATAAATGTTGTAAAGTTTAATGAATGAATAGATAGGTGAGTGAGAAGGTAAGTGAGTGAGCAAGTGACTAACTGTAAGCTAATAAATAAATGATATTGACATGTACAAGATGTTTTAACTTTGTACAGCTTCAAAAAAATTTAAAGTACAACTTAGGCCTCCCAATGTGGTATTTAAAAAAAATAATTAGATGACTGTTGGAAATAGCATGGGAAATCCACTTCAATGGGAATGAGTAGAAACTCTTGACCCATAGGAGACACTACATATATAACAATTTAGACAAAAACCAACAGAAAATAATGGTGCACGATATCATTTTCTCTTCAGAAAAACCTAGTATGACTACATCTCTCATCTACCTTTACCTTATCTTTAAAATTAGTACATTAAGGCTAGAAATGAAACAAAACTCCACACTTCCCTAGAGTCCTTGGAAATTTTCAGATGGCCATCTGCAAAACATGTTGCTGACTTCTTTTGAAAGTCACAAATTTTTTCACACAATTCCCTGGCTCAGCTTTTACATCATGAATTGAGGTTAAGTCTACAAAAGCCTTGCCTAGTAAACATACTGCTTTGAAACAATAAAATTGATGAAAGGTGATATTTTGAAACAAAGTACTCTTCTAGTATTTGTTCAACTTACATGTATTATAACACACCTGTACAACTTTTTCCAAGTCACCAACATTTTCCTCAACAAGGCTGCAAATAATAGAAAGTAGGAGAAAATTGTCTTTTTTTTCAGTGCTGAATACACACTGAATGAAATACCACTGGAAAAAAAAAGTGATATATTTTTTATGATTCAAAAACCACAGACATATGTTACAGAGTTCACACTGACCTATTACTGGTGTCACTCTGAATATTTCTGATCACAACTTGAAAATGGTTTCCCTTAAGTGCGCCCATTCTGAGTGGTCTACTCAGTCCCTCCCTGTAGCTTCCACATTGTATACCCTCTAGGGATGAGTGATCTTGAACAGCACATATCCTTTTTGATGAAAAGGAAAATCTTACTATTGTTGAATGAATTAATAGGCTATGCCAGAAACTGATAAATAGCTATAAATCACTCAAATGTTTCCAATTTTGCTTCTAACAGAAAAAGCTTGGAAATTCTAAACTAATTGACATGTTACCTGGAAATCTGAAATACATTTACATGCCATCTAACTAAAATATCTAATACTTTGGCCTCCAAATGACCTTTGGACACCCAGCAGAATTATTGTGTTGTTCTTCAGGGTTTTTCTCTTACAGTGCCTGGATTCCATCCTCAAGAATGAAAAAAAAAACAGACATAATGGAGCTAAAGGTTCAGTGTTCAAAGTCCCAAGCCATGCTTGGCATGCAAGAAAATTAAGTAATAATGGTTTTATCTAATCCTATTAAAAAAAAAAAAAAGAATTTTGAAAAACAATAGAACTGGAATGACTCACTGTTCTGGTGAGACACCTCTGACCACCATGTACTGTTTGGTGACTGCTTTCTTATCCTTGATACCTGCATAACTAAAGGCTGAAGGCTGAATATTCAGACAGGTGGACAGGCGGTGTACAGCTTCCAGTGTTTCCTTTGGATTATGAAGAAAAAAGTGGGATGTTTAACAAAAACTAACAAATTTATAACCACTACAATTTCCTCAAATGGGATTGGTACAATTTAGCTGCTTTATTTTTCATTAATCATTCTGTAAACCTTTAATCTGACAGTTGAAGCAGCCAGTTCCAATACAGAAATTGTAACAGTTATTATTAACTGGTAAAAGGACTTCTTGTCGTCCAATTCTGTCTGTAATTATACTCGTGATTGACAAATTTGACTCACGCTTTGCAGTAATTCAATTTTGTTTATCCCTTGTATGATTACAGACTATACATTTTCTTTGGTACTGGCAAGGAGAATTTGTTAACAATCAAAGCCTCTAAGGTTGCTCATCATTTCTTGACCTTAATGAATGATTCAGCAGTATTACTGCAAGGAGAAATGAGATGGTGGTCACTTATAGAGTGTAAAGGGATGAGAAGTATAAATGAGTACCAGAAAATGGAGTTAATCCAGAGAAAAAATCCTGCGTCCAGTTGCTCGATGGCCAACTAGCGCTAACCCGGGGTTAAGTTTTAATCTGGGTTTCTTTATTCCCTTCTTCAAAGACTTATTTCAGATAATTTCTTCAATTCTTTTTAGAACATCCAGGTATCAAATTGCAGGCAAAAATAAATATGCTGAATATGCCTTTAAAGCTTTCAGATCTGAGGTCAGATTTCATGCTAACCCTGGGTTATCTTAACCTAGCTTTGAACAACTTGGCCCTGGTAGGGAAAAAATATTAATGAACCAGAGTTGCATTCAGACTGAACCTTTTCAAATTGTAAAGGAGCAGGTAAGGGAGAACTTTTGATGATAATGTGGGTGAACATTTCATGAGCATAAATCATTCCTTACCATATTTCTTTTGCATAAAACAAATCCTGTGTATTCACTTTCAGTCTGACTGGAGAGTTAAAATATTTTTGATGAAAGAAATAACATCAAATAATAAATAAGTGATTCATAAGTCAGAATGAATAGCATGGAAAACTGACAGAAACAATTAACATTACAGCATACAAGAAGTTTAAAGTTCATCATTCTACAGATTGGTTTACCAGCACATTTTACAGTGGAAGAACAACACAAATCAAAGCTTGTGACTCATTCACCATAAGCACAAGATTTACAAACTTTTCTCAATTAAATTTCCCCAGTGCTGATTATTTTCCTTTGCCAGTAAATTGATAAATAAGTTGTATGTCTACATTTCTGTCCCACAGGTAGGGACTGGTTCATAGACATTCAAAAGGATATTTATATGACCTAAGCAGCTTTAACCTTGATAAATTCTAATTATCAACTGAGTTGATAACGTAAATTGGCTACCGTTAAGAGTCTGAAAGGTGATGTTTTGAGCATAATAGCCTTTATTGACAATCAAAGCTTCTTAGGTTGCTCATCATTTCTTTTATTTTCATGATCTAAATGAACGATTCAGCAGTATTACTGCATAGCCTTTGTCAGAACAAATGAGGTGAGGTTTCACTCTGATGAAGGGGTAACACTCAAAATGCCAGCTCTCAAACTCTTAACAGTGGCCAATTTAAGTGATAAACTCAGTTGATGATATCAAACAAATATACCTTGTTATACTCTCCCACCCCCACAGCATCACAATTTCTTTAGAAACTTACCCCTATACTCATTTAGCACTAACCTGGACCTTGTTGGTTTATAACTTTGCTGTAGTGACTTTTTTCCCTTCACTCGCATTCTAACCTGAATGTAGCTTCCTCCACCTACACCATTTGATGTCTTCTTTTCAAAGTCATTGAATGTCTTGCTTTCAAGAAATGAGCCAAAATGCTTTGATAGCAGTCTGTGAATCTGAGATAATAGGTCAGTGTATAGACAAAGTGTTACAATTTAATAATAACTTTATTTTTATTGAATAGGCTGAGTTGGAATCATCATCATAGTCATAATTCTGGAAAAGTGCATGACAATTTCGAGGTTGTATATTAATAAATCACTTCATATACGTTTTAGTGTTTAGTATCTCTGAGTATTTTTACTTTTTGTTTATATTTTGACTGCTCATAAAAAATACTCAGCAATACTCTACACACCGAAATATCTAATGAAATATACATCCAAGGTTTCCTTCCTCATCTCAATCGTGCTGGCCAAGTCAAGATCAATGTTAACTCTTTAATCCCTGAGAGTGACAAGTGTTCTTAACTTCTCTTCACAATCTATCCTTTGAATCAAATATTTAAGCCATGAGAATAAATGAAATGATCAGCAACTAGAACAAAGCTCTTGATGGTTTTACAAATTCTCCTTGTTAGAGCCTAGGAGATGTATAGAGAACAGTATGGAGAATATACACAATGATGTTAGGGTGTAAAGGGTTATTATTGTCACCTTTGTACGCTTCTCTTTATCTGCATTACTGACATCGAGATCAAAAGTGGAAGATATTGTTCTCATTTCCCAATGAGCAAAACACAGCAGTCTATTGATCAATACATAAAATAAGCAAAGACAGGCTTAAAAAAGTTTTTCAACTGTACAACTGAGTGAACAAACTAACACACTACAACTAAATAAAATATCTGTTGGTAGGCCAGTATTACAAGTAAATCTCATCAATCTAACTCCATCAGATGACTCCCAGTCCTCCAATCTAAATATTGACACAACATCAAGAATAAAAAACAAAATACAGGCAACTACAATATGTCTTCCAGTGTGTTACCTGTTCACTTGATGTCGATCATTTAGTAACTCAAAAAACTCCCAATAAACTTTATCACTGACTGCAAAAATGGATGGAGGGTCTCCCTGAAGCAAAAAAGATTCTCTATCAGTGTGACATAAAATGGTTACTTCAAGGCCAAAAATTTCTATTAAATTTATTATTAATTCAGTAATGCATCAACAGGGTTGTCAAACTAATTGTTATGCTTGTAGCTCAACTTTCAGACCAGTACGGAGGCATCACATTGTGCTGCAAACTTTGTATCCCACCCTGGTTATTTTCCAGATTTTAAGAAATCTTTTTGACAATCCTGCATCCATATTGAACACCTTACCTCTTGCTCACTCTGTACAGTTACAGTCTGAAGATGGGGGTATGCCAACCTGACATTTTTGTGAAGAGCTCTTCGTTCCTCTTTTAACATTGTTGACGCTATGATGAAATTTAAAATTCATGAACATGGAGGTTTCCCAAGAGGGGGGTTCCATTGTTCAGAGTATATAATTGGAGTGCAATGTTCTTCAAATTGGGAAAACACCATGATTACAGTATACATCCTTGACCACATTTTGTTGTAAGATAATTTGATTTAATCAACCTAGCTGATGAGGAGAATTGGCCACTGTTAAGAGATCTGAGTGGAGGGGGAGGGTGAAGTCTTCCACCCTTCATCCCTTCATCTGACCTTAGGTTTGGCACCCTGATACTCTATGCATGATGAATATTATTTATCTTTTTTTGAGAGTTTATAACCAATCTCAACACGTAAATTATGAACTGCAAATTAAGAACTTGATTACTAATATATACATTTTTATATACATATATTTATATATAAAGATCACATAGATTACTTGTACATGGATTTTATTCAATTTTCGTAAATCACACTTTTAATGTTTGTGTATCTATTCATCACACCATTTTTTTGTAAATGCAATTCATCTTCTCTGCTGCAAAGTGATTTTTTAATAAACATATCTATCTATCAATCTATCTATTTTAAACCTTACTAACTTTGTAGATAATTGAACAATAAAAGATAACATTATCATCTACTTTAGGCACATGTGTATCAACCTTACAAACACATATTCTCTTGTTGTTTTCTTTCCTTTCCTCGACATCCAATGAAAAATCTCTGAGCTCCGTAAATTTCTCACTTCCCAGACACTTTTCCAAATCACTCACTGCACATTCTTGTAAATTGTCAAATGACTCAGAAATCTAAATGAAAGTTAAGATTATCAAAGATATTTTAAGCAATGCAAAAATAAAGGTAATTTTGTTAACAACAAAAAGTAATGACATGATACTCTCTTACATGTACCATCATCATGGTTTTAAGCTGTACCTTGGTTAAAAATGGTGTTTCTTTTTCCAGACTTTCAAGTTCCAAGCTCCTCTCATATTCAATCATTTCTTTGGGTTTTTTATCTCTTTTTCTTTTCTGACAGTTTTTGTCATCATTTTCAGAAGAAATTTTGTTTCCAATAAGTTCCACCAGCTTCCCTTGAGAGTCAATTTCGGTGACAATAAAATCTTGGTATCTTGGCAAACTTGTCAAGGTCAATATCAGATTGATTACAATTAAGTGCCTCCAATTCAAATCATATGAAGCATTATGTTACAGACTTGAAAATTCAAAACTTATCTGAGTCTAGTAGCATATGAAGAGAGAGGGTCTGGGAAGTTCACACTCCCCATCAGGTCAGGTAACACCAATAATTTTGCAAAAACAAGATTGCACTTACTATACTCAATATGAAGTATCTAAAATCTACATGTATGCCTAAAAACATTCCTTATTCAAGCTCTCGAGAAAATCAAAATTCATGTGGAATCTGCATCAAAGTATGAACCTCCTTCTAAAATTTTAATAATAATGTGTGGTGATGTGTCTGAAACTCTTCACGTGGCTGCACCCCGGCCCAGCCCAGCACCCAACCCTGCGTTGTACACGTTCTTGTTCGTCACTCCTTTTTACAGGTAGATCTTATTCACTAAGGATACGTTTGCTTGATTTGCCCCTTGAAACCCTCTCGATCACGATCAAGAAAACAGTCCGCACCGAAGGACATTTTCGGACAAATGTTGTAGACCTTAGACGATAGGAAACTATCGGGACAACTTGCAAGAGTTTATATGATCCTACAACATTAAGTCGAGGAGAGACAATGGCCTGGTTACAAATCTAAATAGCTGACCGTAATTATCCGGGGCGCATAAAAATGGCCGATCTTCGCGGGTCTTTCTTTCGCTCTGACTTTGTGTTTTCAACACAGCTTGACTATTGATTTTTAACGAAGTGATGGATCTTCTCGAGTGCGAATGGGGCTCTTGTGAAGAAAAGTTTCCCCTTTCAAGTTTTCAAGACTTCAGGGAGCATTTTGAAGGACATTTAAGAGGAATTTTCCCGGGATATCGAGCGGGTTTCTCAGATGATAATATACCAGAAAATTTTACTTGCTTTTGGAGAGACTGCGGTTGGGATTCTCCCATTGACGCCGGTGATATAATCCGTCATGTCTTCTTCCACGCTTTCCATACTAAAATAAAGCTTGAAGGGTACAAAAAACAGCAAGAAATGAAACTGACGCCTTGCACTTTAGACAGTCAAAGCAGAAATCTTCTTCCTGACATTCCTGAACCGTTTCTCTGCGAGTGGAAAGAGTGCAGTGTTGAGTTCAACTGTCCTACGCTTTATTACAGACATGTTGACAGTCATGCTTGGGCTGTGGATAAGATATACGCAGGAGTTGGAGAAAATGGCAGAAAAAAGTACTCCGTCACTTGCCAGTGGGAGGGTAAGGATCTGCCATCTTTGACTAGCTAAGCGTCGTGATTGTTTGTTATGGAATATACCATGAATATTTAACACTGTGCTAACTCAAACTACATATCAAAGTACTTAAACTCTGCTGGTTAATTCTATTCTGAATGCTGTAGCACACAGTCAATCATACGTTTTCGTATACTTTGTTGATTTCAATTTTAGGTATATGTCGAGGTTTAAACTTTTCAATTTCCCTAGCTCTTGACATCACCTCTTACCAATCACATTCTTTGTCCTGCCGGTTACCACAGAAGCTTTGTAAAGCAAAATATTAAACTTAACTATTCCTCTACTATGCTATTTTACAAAAATAAAGTTACAGAATATGAAAAATATGTACTGTACCACACTGTATAACAGGGCAAAAATACAGATGGAAAGCAGGTATCTCATCTCTAAGTAGTTTCTTCTTTTTTTTTTCAAGGATGTAATTTTACAACTGTAAACCACTACAAACTTAAAGAACATTGTCGAAGTCACACAAGAGAGAAGATTTTTGCCTGTGTGACATGCGGTGGTATGTTTGCAAACAAGACAAAGCTTGTAGACCACATGGTTCGACAGAATTCTTCAGGATGTGAGTAAATTTTGATCATGGTAATTGATTTTACTCAAGTTTTCATCACTTTAATGTTTTCCTTTTGATTTGCTTTGTTGCAGTCGAAAGTTTTCAATGTTCACACTGTCTGAAGCACTGTGGCTCTGAGCGTATCTTGCGTGATCACATGAGACATCATGGTACATAAGTAAAGGATATTACATGGCAGCATGGAGATTTGAAATTTCCCTTCAAGTGTTAAACAGTATTTCATGGCTGAGTGAAGGGAACAAGTAAAATACCTTTCAACATGTGAAGAGAAATATCGTATCTCCAAGCAGCCACATAATATTCTACTTACTATATTAACACCAATGAAGTACTAAATCATTCCTTTTAATATTTTTTTTAAGTAGAACAATGTGTCACTTAAGTAGAGCATGTCACAACTGAAAAGTGGAAGAAGTGCAGGGCCTGCAAAGCATGATCAAAATTCAAATTTCTGTTGCAATGTATTAGTTTGATATATCATCTGCCATCAAAAGTGGTGATTTATTTGTAAACATAGCAACAGTGATCTTTTCACATGTGGAGATAACATGTTATTGTCACATGTGAAGATATCATTATTTAGCACAAAAGCTCACTTTGTATTTCACGGGTGATTATATAACAACATGAAATTTATATTTCTTCTTTGAAGTTGTTGAATTCTGTCAGTAGTTTTCAAGAAAAGAGAAATCAGGAATATTTAATTTTAGATAAAGTGTGGATAACTGGCCACTTGATGATACCAAAAGTGTTTTGGTACTACAAGGGTATTCCAAGAATGTTGTGAACTTTTGTTTGTTCCAGGTGAACTCAGGTTTTAGGAGGCCATATCACAGTGGGATAGGGTAGAGGGTTCAAGCTCCAGACCAGACCAGACCAACACTGTGGGCCTTAAAATATTTGAATAAATGGTTAGACATTCAAGTCTCCTCTGATACTGTACTGTGCTGGTTAGCAGAGAACTTTGAAGAAGTCACATATACTTCTTGTAAAGAGTAGGGAATTTAGCCCCTGGTGATAAATGAAAAATAAACTAATTTCCAAAAGTGTGATTCAACTTATTTGAATTACAAAGAAATAAAACCACCTTACATAAATGTATGTAATTGTTTATTAAATTTTATTTGCAGTCAACAATGTGAAATGTCAGTTCTGTGACATGACCTGTCCAAATGCTTCAGCCCTCAAGCAACATGTCAAATTCAGACATTCGGAGGAAAGACCCTTCAAATGTGATGTGTGCAGTTACACGTGAGTGCACTGTCCAATGGACAGAGTAACATGCAGTTAACTTTTTAACTCCTAAGATCTGATTGATAATTCTCCCCTCCAGCTGCAATACATTTCCATGTAAAGAAGTGACAAGAATTTGGCGTCAGATCAAGATAACAACTTCTACCTGATCAATTTGTGTATTCTCATAACCTGTTTGCTGGATAATGTAAGGATATTTGTAAGGAGAAGTTACATGTTTATCTCTTCTGGGAGTAAAAGGGTTAAATTGAAAAAGTGATTGATACATTCAAAGATGTTGAAAACCAACCAGTCAAACTAGAGCATAGTGCTTCCTAAGGTGTCACACAACTTCTGTGAAGACTAGCAGCATACAAATTAGAAACATTTGGGTTAATATCAAAAGCAATTGCATTGAGACATGTTCTTTTCCCAGAATTTTGTGTGACAAGACTAAATAATGGCTGGGAAAGAGAATTACAGAAATCAGGCAATGCACAAAAAAATTACTTATTTTTTTTCATTTTAGCTGTAAAATGCAGTCAGATCTGCGGCGTCACCGTGAATTCCACAATGCTGTTTTAGCTTATCATTGTGATTTTGAGGGTTGTACCTTTTCTGCTCGTGCCATGCAAACAGTGAAAAGGCATCAGAAAGTTGATCACCAGGTGAGGTATTTGTTGAATGTTAATTTCAGTAGTGAATTGCTAGATGCATTGTTTTTCTTTGTTCATCTGTTTACTTTTGTCTTAAAATACATGTCTAGGGAATTGATTTGTACCGATATGAATGTCATGTTTGTGGACAGCGATACACAAGAGGATCTGGGTTGACCAACCATCTGAAGAAAAAACACAGGTTCAGTTGGCCAGCTGGACACCCAAGGTTTAGGTGAGGTGACAACACATTATTTTGCTGATTATCATAATGCAAATACTAATGATGCTAATAATAGCAGTGATAATAATGGTAATAGGAGTAAGTGGATTCCAATTTGATCTGTAATTCTATGAGTGATTAAGCTTCATATTTTTATTTGTTTGGCAAAATCACTTGTGTAGCTTGCAGCGTGAGTGTATTTTTGACTGACCAAGTTTAGAACTTCATCATGAAAAGTTTGATTACCAACTTGAATTTTGTAAAGGAGAGGAAAGTTTGGGAGAGGGGTAAACTTTTGCACCCCACCCCCCCCCCATCCCCTCTCTACCCAGTCTTACCCCAACTCAAACATGGCACCTTAATAAACAATTTTAAGCTTTGTAAAACTGACTAACCCTTCTTGATAAAATTCCTGACCTGAAGAGTTATTTGATGGATCTGTTAGCCCAAAAAGGATAGAAGAGTAGTCTGTTGCCTCTACAAAATGTGGTATTAAAATGCAGATTTCTATGGGTTCAAAGGTGCTATAGGCAATAGTCACATGGTTATGTTCAATGTCATGATCTATAGCAGAATTTCAGTGAAGCGCTGCTATGTAATTTTGATTGGAGTGGTCACTGAAAATTTTTTGACTAGAGTTGAAGCAGAAGTGATTCTGTATTTAATAGAGCAATTCCTGTCCATAACTGTAGATACAAAGAGTGTGATGATGGCATTTGTCGACTTCAAACTGTGCGCTTTGAGAGTCTCCATTTGTCACAGCTGATGAATGAACAGGAAGGTGCTGGGAACACGGAAATGCAAGCAGGTGACTCCCCCCAGGATTGCATAGACTCTCCTGCAACCTCAGGGGGGTCACCAGAATCGAATATTGAGGGGTCACCCTTTCTTAATAGAGGGGATCACCCTGGAGAGCTCAATTACCAAGAACTTCTGCAAGAATGGAATGAAAGTAACAGTAGTACACAAGACAGGCGACATAACGGTGGAGGACCAATAAGGAGTCGTGTGATGGGGAGAGTTTCAGAAGCACATCCTTATGAGAGATCAGAGTCACCTGAACTGGATTTACCACAGACCTTGCTGGATCTTCAAGATGCTGCAATCAGGCTTGCCAATGGACAAAATTAGATCAGTTTTATTAATTGTAAATTCATGATTAAATTAAATGATTGAATAATTAACAACTATTCACCAAAGTGAAGAAAGCTAGTGATGAATATTTACTGAGCTGCCTATTAGCAAGGTAAATATCCAAAGCTAGCCACCAACAATGAGGTGAAAAGTTGTTTTAGTATTTACTGAAACAGTTAACATAGCACAAAAAAGATGATTTGAACTCATTTATTCCTGTTATGATTACAATATTTTTAATTGCAAATCTTGTGCAAGTTGCTGGAGGGTGATTAGCAAAGGATATTTGGAGTTAGAGTAGTCAATCAGAGCACGCCTTCAACTCTATCAACTGTTTTAGTATACACTTGAAAAATTTATACTCAGTAGCTTTTGTTTAAATGCCTCTCTTAAGAGACTGTAAAGTAAGAACCAACATGTACATCACCACAAACAGTACCACAAGGAAGGACTGCAAGCGCTTTATTTACATGATCACACTGAAGAAAGCTGGAATCTTGCTGTTCAGTGTAAGAAAAAGAGTCATAGACTTTCATGTTGAAGCCAATTTTTACCACATGGAGGTGTTTATTCCATCCATAGATGTACTTGTTAATGTGGTACATTAGATTAGATTTCAATGGTCGCTTATTGCGGTTGTCCTGTTAACTTCAAGTTTGAGGCCTTCTCTTGAAGCACAGTTAACTGTGTCTCACTAGACTACCCCCATTATTTTCACTTTCTTTAACCCTTTAAATCCCATAGGTGATTAGCATGTAACTTCTCCCTATGATATTCATAAATTGGTTTTCAACATCTTTAAATGTATCAATCGAAGCTATTTAAGACCCACTTATTTTCCAATTTAACTCTTGTACTCCTAGAGGAGATAAACATGTAACTTCTCCTTACATTATCCAGCAAACAGGCAATAAGAATACTCAAACTTTTCGGGCATAAGTTGTTATCTTGATCTAGTACCAAATGCTCACAAATATTTTAGAAGGGAATGTTTAGCATCTAGAGGAGAGAATTAACGATTACATCTTGGGAGTTAAAGGGTTGATTGGAAGGAATACCTTATGGTTTGTTTTACTGACAAACTTGTCATGTCTACCAATCCGTAATAGCTTAACAGTTAGCTCGTAGAAAAAAATTTCTTTTTTTAATTTCTAAATTCATAGAGAAGGCCAACGTATGGGATCTTGTTACGGCGACTCGGATCGCTAGGGAACGTCTCATTTTTAGTACAGAAAAGGCTTTAACGTTATTCTACGACATAACTTTAGTTCTTTAAGAGTATATAAAAACCATAATTAGGTGAAATTTCATTTTTATAATAAATCTTTTGTGTGAATTGTAGATCCAGACTGTATTGGTGAAACCAGTTTGATTCGTTGCCTTCGAAATACTAACAACTGCGCCTCGTAGGCAAATTTTGTCTTCTGAGATTTAGTGTTGAACAGAACTACGTTGAAGAAGCAAAATTTGTTGATGGTGACGTCCTATATTCGTCCGTACTCCAATAGATCAAATACAATTTTTTTCTTACAGTTCATAAAATATTTTTGCTCACGCATGATTGGCCTAAACGCCTCCAGTGACCGAATATGCTCTGGTTAAAACGAGGAAATTTTTCAAATTTTATGTCCTTTACGATAAATCTTTGTTTAAAGTTTAACTTAAGATGAGACAGCGTCTCAAGACTCGCAATAATTTCCAAGCTGGCGCTGGTCACGTCAGGTAAAATCCAAGTTTACTCAGACTAATCCTGGTTCGGGCCGGACAAATATCCATTACGTCATGAATATCTTATCATTACCTACTGCAGTAAGCAGGCTGACGAAGGGTTCAATTTAGGACAGCGGTGTTCGATTTTAGACGATTTTCTAATTTCAGATATAAGTATACAATTTTAGATAATAGTGTTCGTTTTGGACACTAGTGTCCAAAATCGGAAATTAGTGTTTTTTTCCGCGGAAGACAGATGTAAAACTCAGTCCCTTTCTGATAAAGAGGCTAGAGTCCAGACTCCGTCAGTGAAGATCTTGAGCATGTGTGAAATGGAAAACGTATTTTGACTGTAAATAAAGCCCTCAAAAACGTTTGAACTCCAAACGAAAACAAGCAATGCTTTAAAACTTATCTCAACTCCGAAAACGATCGTCCAAGACTGTTTGCATCAACCTCAGTCTTAAAGTATGATTGAACAGATCACGTGCTTTTCACGTGAATGCAAAAAAAATTACGTAGGGGAAAAAGAAAGAGAAAATTCTAGTGCAAAATGCGCCCACTAAACTAAAGAAATATCAACACGGGAATGCACTACGAAACGGTTTCGTAAAATTTGGGTCGACTTCTGATTTTAATTGAGGCAACCATCTTCCGGTACATTTTCTAGAACGGGATCTGATACCTTGAACGTGCTAAAAATTCAATTTTTTTTAAAAAATTTGAATTATAAGCAACCATTTGAAATAATTCAGTCATCAACCAAGAATATTTTTGAAAAATTATTAGGGAATAAACTGAATGGGATTTTTTGAAAATTTAAATATATATTTTTAGAGAATTAATTTTCCATGACGACTTGCAAGTTTGAAGGTACAAGATTTCTCACCTAAGGTTAGGGGGGGGGGAATTAATTTAACATATCAAGTTCTATATGCGTAAATTTCTTGGTCGGAATATTCACCAAAATTCATCTCAGTTTTATGTGTCAGAACTGGTAAGCTTTATTAAAGTTCAATCAGGTTCATATGCTTTCTGAAATTCCAGATGGCGAGTTCAACTGAAAATGCCACAATTTTCATTTTAACGGAGATTTTTCAATTCAAACAAACAAGTACGCCGAATTGCGTTTCAGAAATTCTAACTCCGCCTGATGAAGAATGTTTGTCTTTAGCCATTCGCGAAATTCTAACTAAAAGCATAGATTCAATTTTTAATCGACGTCTTCCACTGCATCTCTGTTCTGACGACTAAAAGTTTGTACCATTGTAGGTTTCTGTTCGTGAGCGACTTTCAATCGCTGCAAGACCCGATGGCGCTGAATTTCGCCTTTTAACTGCCGTTACACTTAGACAAGCGCTAGTCTCTACAACGGCCCCCTTATCCATCAAAGAGTTTGATCTCCCCACTTTGTGGAGATGTGGCTTTTTATCGTTGTTGCTATCCTTAAATGACTTCATAGTCTCTTGCTCAGCCGGTTCCTCTCCAGGTGCCTTGTCCAACTGCGCCTTGAAAGGTTGTTGTGCGCCAGGTTGTTGTGCGTTACGTGAATTGCCACGGCTGGTCCTCGCTGCACATGACTGTGCCCGCCTGTGGCTATGGCACGAGACACTTTCGATGTCCACAAGACTTCGAAAGCTTAAGAGAGCAACGATAGCACGGTGTCGCTCAGCCTCATGAAATTCAAACCTACTGCAAGTCACTGGCTCGACTTCCTTAGGAATCCCGAATCTCAAAAGCTTCAGCACGGCTTTCCTATAGTGTTTGTTTCTATAGAAATAAAGCAAAGGATTTGCAAGAGAGTTAAACTGGAGGAACATTTCACCCCAGTGGTAAACCGAGTTTGCACGAAAAAAAGGCACAAATGTTGCCAGAATGAGAAAACACATTAGAGGAACAGCGGACGTGAAGACGGTTACCATTGTCACAACAGCAGTAAAAGCAATCTTCGTTTCAATTCTTGCTTTGATTAAAGAATTTACGCGCCTGATTTGGCTTTCCTTCCGATTCCGTATTACAATATAGACCATGCGATAAAAATAAGCCATCAAGGACATGCCTATGAACCAGACAAGAACTGAGGTTACATGTAGAGTCAGGAGAACCTCATCACCAACACCAGCGGCCGATAAAGCGGGATGCAAGGCATTCGTTACGACGGATGCTATCCAGGCGAATCCGGCATATCTCTGTAAACGTTCTTTTGTAACCAAGATTTTGTAATCTGTGCATTTTACTATAGCTGTGTACCTCTCCCAGGCTATTAAAACTAAGTGATAAAACGAAACATTGTAAACAGTGTACATGAACGAGCCAGTGATATCACTTAACCTACAGACGATGTTTTCTGATGCAGTTCCTCGAATGATCAGTGCAATCAAAGCGATTTTCAGTGGCATAGAAACTGCACCCACTAAGAGATCAACCACAGCCAAACTAGCGATCAGAATGTTAGAATTTCTCTGTAACTCTCTGAATTTCTTGACCGCCAAGATCACTAAGATGTTTGAAAGAGTGATTAACGGAGAAGCAGTGGCTGAGACGGCGATCGCAACGTAAAGGAAAAAATCGTTCTGGAAGTTCCAGGTAAGCTCAGGAGTATTGGGGCACGATGACAGCATTCTGGTTGAATTATCCAGCGAAGCTTCAGAAGGACTCTCAGTGTTAACGAACATCCAATTTATGGCCCAAGGCATTCTAACAGTAAATGATCTGTGTTTCGTGATGAATGCTAACCGAGTACTGAAGATTTTTTTTCTCGGCTAAAAGCCTTTCTGGCGACAGAATATCAGAACAAAATTGGCAGATGGCAGTAGAGAAATTTTCTCATAGAAGTGTTTTGTATACAGTATTTGAAAGAATCATCGTCTTTCTTTAATATGCAGTCTTATTAACACTTAAAATGTATATGAGATTGTATTCACCGTCCGTTTTTCCCTTTTATTATTTTGCCTTTAGGGAATTTCCCGATTGTCTCCTACTTGTTTAAACGGCACGGAAAAAAATTGCTTCAATTGGATATGAGAAACTTCGTCAGTTATCATACAGTTTTGAAATAAAATTTTAAATGTATTCTTATCCAAAGAGTTAAAGAAATATTTGCACAATTTGTACGATTAAGTTGTACGGTATTAAGAGATTTAAAACCTCTCCTGACAAGAAAGAAGTGTTTATCTCCAGTTTTTCCCCTTGCCTGTTTTCTGTTTCCGTCGTCAACTTACATCAATGCAATCGATGAAATTCGAGATAACATGGAAAACCTCATACTATCTATTTTGTCTGCAAAATTCTCGGAGAATCTTTGTTACTAGATCCAAAAATATTTGCTACACCTGCATGACATATCATCTCCGGTCGAAAAAATACAGCTGAGGTTTCGCTACCTCTAAAATAACTTTTTTCGTTAAGCCAACAGAAGTTTTGCATTACAGCACGAAAATTTTCTATCCTCTGACCAATACAACTGATTACGCATGAAAATTTAAGTCTTAACGCATTCAATGTCTTTTAGACAAACATAACCCACGCAGAAACAATTCATCGTACAATTTTCCGCTAAAGGAAAAAAACTTTAAAAGCTTTGGAAGGAGCTGAAGCGAAGGACTGTTCATATCGGGAGCACATCCTCAACACTAGGTGTCCGTCACGGGTGTATTTTAGCTCTCAGCTGATAAGAGCGTTTGAATCATACTCGCTAGACGGTTATAGGTTAAATCCCGTTCACGCCTAAAGACCATATTGTCACACATAAAAAATTCAAAGGACTTTTTCATTATTTTCATTCAATTCTGAATTCCTTTTTTTTTCAGGCCATATTTTCACAGCTTAGAAAATCACGACGTCTTGTATTCCGTTGAAATTCGATCCCAAAGCTTGTTAAACATGCGCAAAAAAAAAGAAACTTTAATCTTTTATTTTGATTCTGAATGAAACTTAGAATGAGATTAGTAAGTTACTTAGACGTTCAAATTTTAAAATAGTTTGTTTCAGGAAAAAAAATATGATTTACGTAGAATTACTCTGCACTGTTTTTCTTTCATAAATTTTGATTTAGGATTTAAACTTTTGCGATGAGAATGTTCTCAAACGATTGGTTCATACATGTTTCAACTGTGTGTTTTGAAGCACTTTTGAATTTTGGATGGCACGAGAAATGCGTGGGTAATGCTTGAAGCGTAGCCGAGAGCACTTCTGGCTACTTGTATTAATTTGCATAACATTTGAAAATGATAAGATTTTAATTATGATAATGCAAAGTGAAATAACAAGTTACATAACATTGTCGAATACCTGAAAAAGCTGAATCACGTTTCCTTATTAACTCGCGATTTATTCACTTGAGTTAAAGATTTATTCACTTGATTTAACGATTTTACTACAACGGTTCGGTTAACTCCCACCCACAACTCTCGGCTTATTCGAAGGGAACACACACAACGTCCTGTTGTAAGCACGTGAAACAGTGCCATACTGTGGGGCGATAAAACACGTGCATCGCATACAAGCTTGTTTGGTTAGGTATAGATAAAGGAAATCACTTACAAATGTCAATCAAATTAAGAATAATGAACAAATCGAGCAGTTTCCAATAACATGTTACATAAGGTAACATACCATGGATAAGACACCAC